CCTCGAGTGGTTTCCTCGTTAGTCAAAACTCAAATCCTTTTAGGATTTTGATTAGAACACTATGTAGTATCTATAGACAAAAAAAAAATCATTGAAATAGCCTGAAAGCATCTGAAGAGGTTTCCTCGTAAATCAATAATAATCTTTGACTTGAGAAATCAGGATTTCTAAATCAAGTCTATCGTTTGTCGACGTCGAAACAAATCTTTTTCTATTATCTACAGGCAGGTGATACGGCTGAATGGATTACTCAACTTGAAAGAAGTCGCTATCCATTGCAATTACACTTACCAACAACAGGACCAACCCGTGAGGTATTTTTCATTCAAAAGAAAAACAGAACAGTGCTTTTCAAATTATTTGTTCACCTATATTTATCAAATATAAAGTTCAACTTGTTTTCTTTGTTATAATATTATCGACACGTTCAACTCTTTTTTTAAAAAATTTTAATAATTAATATAGTTCGGGTGGATGAATAATTTAGAAATTAAATTTTAATTTCTATTTGTTTTGTTTTATTATTAATTTAATTATAAAATTTTTCTTAAAAGTTTACTGGTGCACGTACACGATATCGATCAGAAGAATCTCGTGTTTTACATGATGATCTCGTACAACAAGCTGAAGAACGTGCACGATTACAAAAACTTAATCGATATCATAATAGCATAGCTGAATTACAAGTAATTATATATATATATATATATGATTTTGAATTTCTAAAATAATTTATATTTATTTCTAGCATTCTGAAGCCATGAATAATTGGTGGGGCAAAAGTGGTGGTGGTGCACCTACACATACAAAACGACGACATAATGTACACAATTCGTTTGAACATCCACGACAAAAATGGGTAGAATTTATGTTCTGATATTATTTGTTTTTTTTTATGTTTTAATTTTAGACAACAAATCATCTTGGTCAATTAGTTATGGCTGATCCTGAAGAACCAAGTCAAGTTAAAGTTCAAACAACAGATTATTTTTATCCAAAATCTAAACAATTATCAAATCATCGAAATTATTATCAAGTATCCGATGATCAAGCATCATAAATTCACTTTCAAATACAATTATTCTTTTTTTTTATTATATTTTATCCTTCTTTGTTTTTCTTTTTTTTTTTTTTACAATTTCACGAAATAACAACAAAAATACACAATTAAAATAAATGTTTTCTTCTTAAGGCAAACTTTTCCATTCTCCTCGACACATTGGACATAATTTATTTGTTTGTTGAGAATTAATCCATTTCATAATACAATGCTCATGAAAACAATGTCGACATTCACCATGTAATACTGGACATTGATCACCTGGATAACGACATTCGGAACATGATGCATCAAATGGCATTCGACATATTCCACATGAATCATCATTTGTTACCCATTTCCATACGGCAACGCCATTAAATTCTTTTAAACGTATTCGCATCTAGAATAAATATTCATTGTTTATTAAAATATTATTATTATTAGTTTTTCATTCATTAATAACAATAGTTGGTTTCTATGAAGGACAATTTTTCATCCAGAGTAATAATTGGACTTATCTAAGTTGTAATAATAACAAAAAAAAAACGAATTTACGTTCTTATCTTTTTCATCAATGATTGATTACTTATTACAGTATCTTCTATTATCATACGAAACATAAAATACTTTATAGTTCTTTAATTCAAGAAAAAAAATGATAATAATTATATCAGTTTGTTTACATTCGATCATAAGTTTCATCTGACAGAAAAAAAGAAAGAGAAAATACAACAAAAAAAAAAAAAGAAATATCGAATCCGAGATTCTAAACAAACCATACAAAAAAATAAGGTATCGACAAGCTTAAAAGAAAGAAAACTAATCAACTGCATGATGCACACACATAAAGAATATGTACAGAGAAAAGTGATTTCTCTTTCGATATGAAACTTTTATGACTGATTAAACACGAGACAAATAAAAAAAAACAGAAAAGTACATTCGTATATCGTACCGTTAACGTTTTTTCCCTTGCTGTTGTTGTTCTTGCTGACGTTGAAGTCGAATGGCAAGAGCAGCTAAACGTTTTCGTTCAATTTCAGCTTCAGTACATGACGTTTTCTTTTTATCTACACTAGTCGAATCACATCGAACTCTTGGTGAATTTATTTTTATTGTATTTTTACTAGCAATCGGTGATGATAATGGACCAGTATGTGATCGCTGTAAAGTTGAATTCGATAAACGATTTTGATTAAGATTTGGTTGACTAGATAGTTCAATTTTTGTTGAATTATGAACTAATGATTGATTTTCATTTGTTAATATAGCTGATGATCGACGTGTTGCATCAAGACGTGTTACATTATTGTCATCAATACTTGAGGTTGTCATTAATATTGAATCGTTATCTACGAGTACTTTTTCAGATGGTAATTCAGCTGGAAATTGGCTTAATAATTGTTCAAAATCAGCATCATCATCATCCCAAACAATAGTAGAAGTAACTGATGGTAAACAAATAGATTCTACGGATGCTGGATAAAAAGAAAAATCATATTCATACCATAGTAGACAAAAGTCATCTCATCCAGCAGATTTCAGCTTCCATACATGCAGAAGGTCTGGAAATTTGTGTGCACATATTTCACTACTAATGTAGCTCAGAGGCATGAGGTCATCCCCCAATAGTTTGAATACAACGATTTTTATTAAAAACGTCACTAATAATTGAAATTTTTATTTGTAACTCAAGCCCACTATATGGTCTTTTGTCACTCAAAAGATCATGTAATTTGCTAAAAAACTACTGTCTCTGAGTCCTTGACACCAACACGATGATTATTAGCATGCCGTTTCCCTTTAGAAGAAGGTTCTTTTCTGAAGTTTGTAGACAATTATGTTCACTCACTGGTAAAGCTTCCCTAAAATACTGAGTTACGATCTACAACAGGCATCAGGGAGTTTTTTGCTCCACGAATAGTCACAATAAAATGGCAATCGTTCTAGCAAGAGTTTATGAACTTCGATGAAAGTAATAGCATGGATAGCAGAAACATAGCCGTAAATAATGAAGGATCAGCTGACTCATAAAACCTTTTGTTTTCAGACGTATAAAGTTCATAGGAAGACTAAGTGCTATCCATAATAATTCTCATTGTCTCCAGTTCCTGTGACGGCTGAGATCTGTTAGGGAGGAGAGAGAGACTTCTGTCCACTATTGTATTTAATAGAAGAAAACAAAACAAACAAAATTTTTATTTATTTACTCTGCGCAGTATTGGATGATTCAAGTACATTAACAATTGTTGTTGTATCTGTAATTTTCTTTGTTCGTGAATGTACAGCTGGTGATGACATTGTTCGAATTTTACCCGGTGCTTTTTTACTTGTTGTTGACGGTAAATCCCAATCATCCCAAAGTGCTTCATCAATAATATCTGTATCAATATTTGCATTATTATTTGTTGTTATACATTGATCAGATGATGATGATGATAATGGTGGTGGTGGAATAAATTTTAAATAACTATCATGACTTATATAACGTGATATAGCTGATGGCGACGAATGTTGTTCAAATGTTGATGTAGGAGATGAAGAACGAATACGTTTTGGCATTGGCATTTCACTAAAAAAAAAAGAACAATTTTAATAATAAAGTAAATATTATTTTAAGAATTTTACATCGGATTTCCATCATTGATTGATTCTCGTTTTAATGTTTCAGTAAATTCGATCATTGTACGATATGCATTATCAACATTCTCCTTTGAGCTTATCAATGTTGTATGGCTGATAAGAATGAAAAAAAAAAACAAAAGAAAGATTATTTTTATATTTATTTAAAGAAGATAAAAAGAAATATAATACTTTTTAAAATTATTTAATCGAACTGGTCGTTGTACTGTATGATTATTTATTACCGCCGATTGGCATATACTGAAAACACGAGAAGTTGTTCGATCGGGAGTTTTTCGTGGCTATAAAATATGTGGTGCATATATGAAAACCATTCATTTATTTAATAAACATACTGGATGTATTTTGGGTTTTGATCGTGGTGGACATGCTAAAATAGAAAAATAAATTCATCAGAAATTAAATACTAAGATAAATGCTCAAATTCTCTTTTTGTCATTTATACTGGTGTTTTATCTTGATTTTCTCTTCTGAAAGAGCAACTTAAAACTCCTGGAAGGCAAGCAACTAGTTTTAGAAGCATAAGCATATAATAATCACAAACTCTGGAAACGAGCGCCACCATCTCAGCCCAATAAAATATTGATTTATACGATTTGACAAGCAATATTAATGACGGATATATTTTAATAAAAACCAATAAAGATATCATAATCACTAATATATATATATATATAATATTAATCCTATGTCTTTTTGCTTTCCTCTTTTCATATAAATGTTATTCATTTAAACTATAATTTCATATTATTATGCTGAATATATTTGCATTGATACGAAAAAAATAATAAACCTACGTTTATTCAATAATGCTGTACGCTCAGTATCTGATATATCCTGCCAACTGACGGTAACGTCGTTAATATTCATATCTAGAGTGCAAATATCAATCAATTATTGCATTGTACATCATTGCATGAAAACGCTAAAAATGTATAAAAGATAGATTATTCTCCGACAAAACAGAAAAAAAAAAGCCAAAACAAATTATCATCATTCTAAAAGAAAAATTCAGGAGAAGAAAAAGATCGACGAACCTGCTTGTTTTTGTTTTCTAGAAAAGTAGAGAAAAGAACAGACGAGTATCATTTATATATATATATATATATATATATATATATATATGTGTACATATATATCCAAAGAATTAGATCACGCAAAATTTCGTTTTGCTTTGGTACGTATTTGTTAAGCCAATAATGAGAAAAAAAAATACGTACGAATACATCTGTTGATAAGGATCAAATACAAAAAAAGAAACAAACAAACAAACAAACAAACATTCAAGAACAGATAAACAAGAAAAGAAAACTGATCAAGATGGAGGATAATGATGACTATAATGAGGATGAAGTGGTGGAGGTCCATAGTTCTGTGGTGGATGACCATAACCATATGGTCCAGGTGGAGGTAATGGTCCATTATATCTTGGCGGTTGAGAAAGATGTCGTGGTGGAAGAGGACCATATGATGGTGGAGGTGGTGGACGAATATCAGGCGGATAATTTGTTCGTGGACCATAATACGGTTGTGTATGAGGATTATCATATGGTGAATATTGTTGTTGATGTGGTGGCATAGGATAATGTGAAACAGGTAGATGAGGAGGACGTTGCCAATTCGATGGCGCAGGATACATATGTGCAGGAGGTGATGGATTAACATCAACTAAAGGCATGATTTTTTGTTGATTAATTGTTGGTATAGGTAATGATTGATTATTACTAATCGATGAAAGTGTTTTCGATTTTTGATCGAGTTGAATACGAATTGGATGTTGTTGAGATGATGGTGGAATTGGTGTAACTGATGTAACAAGTGAATTTGATGACGATGGTGCTGTTTTTGCTATCGTTATTGATGCAGATGTTGATGTTGGTGTTGGTGTTTGTATTGGTGTTTGTGTTGTTGCTGTTAATGATGATGGTGGTCGGGCAGATACAGCAGCAATAGCAGCAGCAGCAGCTTGTCCAATAGTATGTGCTGTTTGTGGTGTAGCTGATGAAGCTGATGCAGCAAGTGCAGCTTGTAAACGTCGAGTATTATATGATAAACGTGGTTGATTATTTGATGAATCTGTTGTTTCATCACTTTGTTGTCGTGTAACATAATTTTTTGCACGTGTTAAAATTTCTTGCATTTGTTCAGTTGTTAATGGTATATGACGACTTAATGGTGTTGATAATGATAATTGACTAGTTGGATGTGGATTACGTTGATTACGTTGTTGTTGTGATAATGCTAATTGACGACGAATTAATTCTTGTGTTAAAGCAATATCTTGTTGTTGACTTTCAGTTAATGGTGTATCCGATGAAATAAAACGTGTTTTAGATTTATTTCGTTGTTCGTTATCAAATTCAGATTCAAGTGAACTTAATTGTATTGGTTTTGTTGCTTGTGTTAATACTGGACGAGATCTTGTTGATGAAATATTTTGTTGCTGTTGCTGTTGTTGTTGTTGATCTTTAGTTGCTTTTGGTGTTGTCACGTGTTTAATTAAACCATCAACCGTTGTTGATGGAACAACTTGTGTTTCACTTGCAACTTTTGGAGGAAGAGAACTTGTTGAATTCGATGATGTTGTTGAATTTCCTTCAGCAAACATATGTTGATAAGCTTGCATAAAATTTGGATTTGAAAATACTTGTTGTTGTACATGAGAATAAAGACTTGGATTAACAAGCATTGCCATAAAAAGAGCTGGATCAAGTATTGTTGACAATGGATGATTAGCTGCTGCTGCTGTAGTAGCAGCTGATGGTGATGATGATGTTGCAGTTGATGATTGTTGTTGAGATGTAAATGGTGGTGCTAGAGATGGTTCTGAAGAGTTTAATATAGAATTTTCATATTTAGCTAAAAAAAAAATTACAGAAATTGAATTACAAAAAAAACCTATTTTAAATATATATATTTACCTTTAAGTGTTTTAGCATGTTTACTTATTTTATTTCTCATTTTTTTAAATTTCTTTTCAATATCAGCATTTGTATCACCATTAAGTATTTGTGCTTGTAATTTATTTCTTTGTTTTATTAATTGTCGAAGTTCATTCGTCATCCTATAATAAAAACAAAATTAAAAAAAACAAATTAATTTTTTTATCTTTTTTTTGTATTTAAATTTACCAAGGTTTTTCATTTAATGATGATTTTGTTATATCTTTCAATCCATCATCAGTTAATTTTGTTTTTTTTCTTATTTGTTTATCATTATCATCATCTGATAAATTATGTTTAGTTAATTTACCGTTTAAATCCATTGTATTTTCATCATCACTTTCAATTTCTCCATCTTCAGTTTCAACATGTATTTGTAATGTTGTTAAATAATCATTATCATTATCATCAAGTAAATGACGAAATAATAAAGATGATGATGTATTATTATTTAAACGTAAACGACGTTTTATTTCTTCAATACAACTAACATTAGAAAAAAAATTTGGTTGTGGTTTATGACAATGAACACGTACACGACCAAAATTCGTTGTTAAATATTCACGATATAAATTATTATTATTATCATCATCAAGACGAAATAATTTAATAGGACGTATTAATTTCATAACACTCATATCAATAATACTTTCTGATGGTGGTGTTTTTGAACGAAATAATATTGTTGATTTTGATGGATTTAAAGCAAGATTATCGACAATTTTTTTTAAACGTTTCGGTTCAATTGGTGATATTAATTTTGTATTTTCATCATCGGAACTATCACCGAGTTCACCATCTTCACGTTTTTCGTTATCACCGGTTTTTGCTAAAACAAATTTATTTTAAAACGAAAAATTTTATTTTTAAAGATAAGAAAATAAGATGTTTACCACTAGTTTTTTTTATTTGTGCTTCTTTTTCTTTTTCAGCAGCTGCTTGTCTTTGTGCTCTTAATTTTTCTCTTTCTTGTGCACCTGCTTTTTTAATACGATCAAGTTCTAATTTAAGTGCATGATCTTTATCTGTAGAAGATTTTATTGGTATTTGATTATTTGTTTTGTCCGATGGTAAATGATTTGTTTTATTCGATTTTGGTACAAGACGATTATCAAATGATGGATCACGTTGTTCATCTGGACGATCCAAATCTTGATAAGAAATCATATTTCGATTATTTTCATGTTGTTGTTGTTGTTGTTGCTGTTGCTGTTGTCGACGACGTTTATGTGTCTTTGATGGTGATGTATTTATTGTAAGAGATTCATCATTATTACTATTTGATGAAAGATGTTGTCGAACAAGTTTATCTTCATCTTCATGTGGTTCAAGAAATGGAATTTGATCAGGATTTGCAATACGCATTAATTCATATGCTGTAGAATTTGGTGGTACATAAGTTATTGGAGTTTGAGAGTTTGGATTAAATTGTGGATGATGAGGAGGTAATAATGGTGGAGGAGATGGTGAATGATATGTATTACCATGTGGATGCCATGGACCATTGGGACGTATTAATGGTACAGGACCAGGACGATAATTTGGATTATTTTGCCATTGATTTGGTGGTGTACATGGAGGTAATAATGGTTTTTGTGGTAGATAATTTTGTTGTTGTGGTGGTAGTTGTTGTTGTTGTTGTCGACGTGCGTAATCACGACCCTAGAATTAATAAATAAATTGTTTTGTTTTTGATAAAATTTATTAATGAAGAAGATAGAACAACAAAAAAGAAAATATTGATTTGTTATGCATGGCATTACCCCGAAAAAAACACCGCCATCATTCGGTGCCGGCATGAGACGCTGGGGTGGTCGAAGTGGTGGAGCCGGCGGTGGATGGCGCATGCCTATATAATTAGTATATATAAAAAAAATAGAATCAAACTAACTGTTCTATGGGATATATATCGTTTCGCAATGAATCATACCTGGTCTCATTAGACCGTGAACAGATGATAATTAAAGACAAGAAAAAAAAACAGAATACTAATTCTACTCAAACAAGTACTCGATTTGATAATTACGAAAACGAACGTTATTTGAAGAATATACGTATAGATATAGAAGAAAGGAATTTATTATCAAATTGAAGATTTAATAGCCATTTTTGATGATACATGGACTCAACCTCCGAATATTTGAAAAAAAAATAAACGTTTGAGATTTTTAAATACAATATAGAACTTTGATTTTTATTTTTTTCAAAGAATTATTTTTTTTCAAAGACTTTTTTCTATTTTTTAGAAATATTTTTCGAAACAATAGAGGTCATACTAATGTCATAAGACGTTCGATTGCGACATCTTTCGAATGAAAGCGAACTTTATCCAACAATCAACTGATTTAGGTAAGAAGTAACACTCATTGTTGCGAATCGCTTACCTCTTGACTGAATATTCAACTCTTTTTGTAAAACTTACTGCTTTACAGATTCAATCAACACTAATATCAAATGTATGCATGCATGCATGCCGTTAGGTGTGTGTGTGTGGGTCTGAGGTTGGATGTTGATATGCGTGTAGGTGTGCATGTTCGTGCGGTTCTTCTCCTTATTTAGTCAACCAATCGCACTTAAATTCACATCAAATGCAACCACCGTCACCTACTCACACCTCAAACCAACATCCGACATATTGATCACATCTATACACCCACAGCTATATCTTACATACACTGGCATCCTATACCCCAAGAGGAAAATAGCTGATTTTTTTATTTTTTATTAATTTTAAATAAAAAAAATTCAATTTAATCAAACAAATAAAAGAAATTACTTATTCAAAAAGGTCTCATTTTGAACATTTTGTGTTTTTATTTTAAATATTTTCTTATAATTTAAGTCTATAACTAGAATTTGGTTGTCAAAAGAAGATGATTTGTACATTTAGAGAATGAGATCTACTATAATAATTACAAAATAATGATCTTTTTGATTTATCTGAAGTTTTTGAGTACACTGATTTTTTAGATTAAATTTATTTTTTTGGACTTAAAGTTGATAGAAAGTCAAAAAAATCAATTCAATCAGTTCTATCAAAGAAATCTGATTTCAGCTGTTTCTTCCTTGAATATATCACTATATCAAATTTTCGAGTTCTTAACTATGGTAATATATTTCTGTATTGCCACTAAATAAATTTTGATTGAATCTTAATTCATCCATTTTAATAGGTATTAAGTGTTACCTACTATCTTAAAGCTTAAAGATGAATCAACCTTAAATTAAGAAGATATTTATGCTTTTTTGATATATCAATTGGTTATATCGATATAGAATGCATTCGTGCACCAGAATGAAATAATCCTATCGAAAGATATGAATTAAGACTCGACCAAAACTTATTTAATGGAAATGTACAATATATTATCTTAGTTAAGAGCTCGAAAATTGAATATAGTGATATAGGCACATCTCTACTTAGAAAACCTTGGAAACTAGACCATTGTAGGATATTTAATAAGTCAGTAAAAGTTAAATGAATTTTCTAGCATAATCTGCTTTAGGTTTTACTGTCAGAAGTCGATGAATTCTCACATCTTCTAGTTGGTTTCATACGATATATTTTCTACAGAAAACACCGATTTCTAAGATGAATCGATATTGCAGCCAATCTTTTCTGATAGGGTCCATACACAACGTCAAATCACATAAATATTCGAAAATAATAGATGTTTATGGTAAAAACAAAAATAAAAAATCCCCTTGTTTGTATTACCATGATAAATGATACTTGTAATACTGTCATACCATCTACAAGTTGCTGTACTGCTTTATCATGACCACAAATACTTTGCAATGTTATATACCAACGATCGGACGCTGCCATCAGAGGACATGATCATATAAATATTTCATCTAGAAAATGAAAACAGAATATTTTAATCAAATAGAATTGAATCCGGCAACTGCTCAGACATTAGCAACAAACGAACGACTTGAGAGAAAATCCATTGTTCTAATTGATTTCATCAACTTATAGGAACTTACGGATTGATTTGCAAACGACCCAACCCAATCTGTGAATCAATGAATCTAATATCTAAAAGATGCTTTATCTTTACTCATCTATCTGATTATGGGTTGGATGCGAATTATTATTCACTGGTTGAAAAACACCAGGCTGGCGACATCACTAGTTTAAACTACAACTATATGGTATAGACGTGTTTGATGATAATCTTACCTATTCATCTGTTTATTTATACGCAGCACTCAGTTTTCTGAAATTGAAACTCATCGATCTGCCATTCAATACCCACCATGAATATCTTCGCGCCATTCGACTTGATTACATCAAGTCAACAGAGATTCGAAACTCAATAGAAAGATTGTTTTATCGTTCGAAACCAAGCTCAGTCAAAAGATGCTGTGTTAATTGATAATGAGAAGCAAACAATGTATTCTGTTGCAAACCAAATTGCAAGAAAACAAAAAAGACAAAACATAAAAAAAACAACCTAGTTGAATAAACAAATCAATTGAAACTCTTGTACAATATCGCTCGGAAACAAGAGTGAGTGGGAGTGACAAGAGGCGACAAACATCTATGAATCCGATTTTGTTGTAGAACATGAGCAAAATGGTGTGCTCCTTAATCATTGATTGTATTGCTAGTGAAGACTAGTGTAGTTAATGTCTGTTTTGAACAGGCAGTGAATGATAGATAGAGAAGGTGAGGATATTATTTGGTTTTGTTCGAGAGCTTTGGCAAGATGTTGTACTCTACAACATTCGGTACACTTTATGGCTCTTTCGTTTATTCCTTAAAGATTGTTAAAATTGCGTGTTTCATTTTAGTTGATGTACAATGCAAAAAAAACTGCTCAAATGTATATCAATCATTATCAATTATGCAATAACGTTGTAAAGATATTGTACCTAGGAAGAATCGGTCTTAGCAGCGTTTTTATCACTTGGGTTTCAACGATAGTCTTTGAAATGTAGTTTTTAATTATGATTTACGTTGGATTATTTAAGTTATCGTTATCTCAACGAATGGTACTCATTTTCGTGTTTGTTGTGTGGTTATTATTGTCTGTTTCGAAATAGAAGAGTGGTGAGTAGCTTTTGAATAAGTCAAGAACACAAGTAGATAGAGAGTTTAGGTTTTCACTATTGAAAAGAGGAAATCAAAACGCATCGAGTTGTATAATACATATTATTTTCGGCAAGCTTTATATAGATTTTTCAGGCTACTTTTTAAAGACAAACGCATCAGACCAGGTCGTAAGAATGAATTTTGAACTTTTAGGAATGCATTTATAACCCTCCAATTGAAGATCTATAAAACTATATAAAGCTTTAATGCTGTAGATGTTATTGGTATTCAATTCGACAATTTGACTCGATCTTGCCAGCAATTTCTGTGAAAAAAACTCTGCTTTTTAGTTTTTTCATGAAGAAAAGACAGAGTTTTCGCAGCATTTTTCTTTTATAAAGTTAATCAAAAAATTCGAAAGTCCAAGTTAAAAAACGTTGCCCTATATAATTCGATACGTTTTCAACTGCTCTTTCCGAAGGTAAAAATCGCAGCTCTCTACCTTGTTTCTATCAATAGTTATTCAACAAATACGTACATATCGTTTTTTTTTGAAACGAATAATAGTTACGTTTATTAGTTAGCTTTAACTATTGTCAGTGATCAATTACAGTTTTGGATTGAAACTTAAAACATAAGTAATTTTCAATAAATCGTCAAATTTATTCAGTTCGATCTAGTAATGGGTAGTTAGCCAAGGTAACTACTCTAGTGTGATGGCATATAGATTGATATCTTACACTCAATTCGAAAAAATAACGAATGGTAAAGATATTGAGAAAATATTAAGAAGTTCATTGATTCTGTCGCACTCTGTACTTTCTATAAAAAATGACACTCAAGCATCCATAATTAGTATCAAACTTGAATTCTAATAAATATCACTTCTCAATATATCAGATCATGGTATTCCATCATTAAATACATTCCTCAATCAAGTTCAATTTTATATTTCTTTCAACGATCAACGAAATGATCTATTGTTCTTCGGCCATTAACACCTTCCGATGAAAAAAAGTAAATTTTTGTCAAAAACATGACAACTAAGATAAATGTATGGGCAGATAGTTTAAACTTTCATAAATGACAAGATTTTTTATTTGACACCTAGTTTTTTTTCAAAAATTCCACCATTTTCTGCTCGAAAAATATGATTTTTTCCAGATAAAGTGAAAAAGATTTTTCGCTTTCTCTCTGTTCATGCTTTTTTTTTGAACTCACATTCCAGAACTCTCGAAAGAACTTCATTGTACCCAATGGCTTTTTTTTTGTTTGAAAGACTATGTCAAGATGCAGAACATGAAAGAGTCCGTTTTTTTTTAATTTAGTTTTGTTACTATTGTATAAAAGACATACTCTTTCAAACAAAATAGAAACTAAGTATATAGTACGCAAGCCGACAAAGACTTTTGAGTTGCCAAATAAAGTATTGTTATGAACTTTGTCTGTTGAATATCTCGCGAAAACATCCTGATATAAGACTGAAAATTTGACCATCGTCTCTCTATTATCATCTCAACATATTCGATGTATCTAGATCCAGATCGATTTATAAGATGAAGGAATCAATCAATTTGTTAACAACCATTCATGTCTTATTAAATTTTTATTCTTAAATAGATATAAAAAAATCTTTCTAGAACGTATCTTGACACAGATCTCACACGTAAGACATAATTTTTTTTATTATCATTCACATAAAACAAAGATCAATTAACATCTTTCTATATTCATACTACTCGTTATTTTTATTTTCGATGAAATTTTATGACTATTCTATTATAAATGTCATGATGATATGATCCAATTAAAATTGTGTTCAATATAATATGTATAAAATTGTTCACACTTTCTAGGTGATTATTTGCATTTCATTTAACATTTACAATGTATTGTCACTATTGATCGACGAGTATCAAATATTGATTAGAAAAATAGAAAAGAAAACGTTCAGCAATAAAATGTTAATTTTAAGTTGATCTTTAACAAAAGATCTTTTGTTTTTCTATTCTAAATCTCCTCCTTTCACATTATTAGAATCTTTTATTCTGAAAAAAAAAACAACTAGATGAGGACACGATTAGACATGCATTTATTCAATAGTCATCTATTTGTTTTCACACTTGTCTTGCTTAATCTATTCTCATTTATTTCGCATTATAACAATGACCACCTACTGATATGGATCATACTCTAAATCACAGTAGGGGATAGTCACTTGAATTGATTTAAAAGCAAATTTATAACAACAATGTGTATTTTATTTTTCTACAAAAATTCGTGGTATAAAAGACACACAAATACAAATCAACAAGGGTTTTTTTTACACATAAAGACTATCAGATGTAAATGCTGTTTGTTGACGATGTTCAACAAGTGAATATAATTGTTCAAAACGTTTTAAACTATCTTGATAATGTTGTTGTGATGATGGTATTGATATAATTGATGGTGGTCGTACGGTAAATTGTTGAATTTGATCCGGTGATATATCCGATGAACCATAAACACCTTCATCTGAAAGTGTTGTATCAATACCAATAATTCCATTATTTAAATGTGTTAAATATCGTTCAACCTAAATGATTAGAAAAGATTAGGAACAAAACAGAACTTTAAAATCTGAAAAGCTTTTACCTTTTCTGAATAACTAAAATCACCTTGATCAACACCGCGAGTATTGATTACTTTTAAATCATTCGCTTCTTTAACTCCATACTGATAGATACGATTGGATGGATTCTATAGAAGAAAAAAAAAAAAGAAAGTACAAAGGCGGTAAGAAGATGCTTAATCGTGTCTCAAGAAAAAATGCTCAGCTCAATGTAGCATACAATCATTAATCCATATACAAACGCGCGCATCTGTTCTCATCGTCTATTCACATATGAATGATCAATACAATAGAAAATCATCTATAGGTGTCGATGGACAATACAGACGAGACATTACAAAAAAAAAAGAAAGAACTTACTCTTCCATCATCAAGAACTTCAATTGTTGTTTTTTGTAATGAATCTGTTCGTTCATTTGAACTATTCATACTTTCACATGAAGAATTTCTAACAGATTTTATTTGTATATTAAAACATGAATAACAACATAAACATAAAGATTTTTTTGATTGTTTATCATGTCGTAAAAGAAATGTAATTAAAAAACATATACCAATTAATATTGATGCAATAAAAATAATAATAAAAAATGATAAAATTAATATTAAACTTGTATTTTCCATACTAAATTTTTTTAATATCATTGTTTCATTTATTGAATGAATATTAATTGGTATTGATATTGAACTTGTTAAATTTCCACTATCATATACAGTTACATTTACTATATATAAACCCATAATTAAAGGCATTGAACATAAAATTAATGTACCATTATTCGTCAAAGTTAAATTAAGAAAAGGTGTTACTATAAATGAATATGTAAATGTATTCAATTGAAAACGATCACGATCTTTAATAATGAATTCAGTTATGATATATGGAATTTCTGTTGTTTCATATAATATTAATAATGTTTCATTGAATGGTAATGGTGAAATAATATCAGGTGGATTATCATTACAATCTTCTAAATTAATATGAAATAAAATACTTTTTGATAATGATGGTAAACCATTATCTGTACAATTTAATTTAATATTTATATATTGTTCAGTTTCATAATCAAATAAAGGTAAACCACTTATTTGTAATGAATATGCATTTAAAGTTAAATAAATTAAATTTAAACGAGTATCATTTAATGTACAACTAACACGACCATTTTCATTAGAATCTTCATCATTAGCATAAATGTAAAATAAAGAAGTACCTAAAATAGAATTTCCATTTTGATAATCAATTGAATTATTTGTTAGATTATTCAAAAAATATATTTCGAAAATCTTTGATTCTAGTTGATATATGAGTCTGATTGAATTTATAGAAACTTGAAAATTTTCAATATAAAATGATTCCTATAGAACTATTCAGCGCGAGAGTCGAGGAATAGAACCCATTCAGTTCACAATTTTCAAATCCACACCCGATTGATCAAACTTTTTGGACTCCAATTCGAACCGTATTTTTGATGGTACTCTCAATGAAACTTTCTAATCGAAATTGCATAGTCGTCTCGAATCATCAGGTTGATCCTCCCCGAGTGTGTGGTCTAGGTAAAACACTACCGAAAATATTTTACAAAATGACTTTGATTGATTATGCATTCTTTTTACAATAGTTATGATTCTTCAGAAATAGTAAATATATAAGAAAATATTTTTCAAACAAACAAGATTGAATCAGTTTTCTTAAGATTTTGTTCATTTTACCTTTTGGTGTACATTCTAATAAACTAATGGGTTGATTATCATAATAAGTACCATTAATACTTGTTATTAAAATGTTTGGAACATTATCGTTAACATCTGTTACATCAATTATTAATTGTGCATAATTACTCAGCTGTGGTATGCCATGATCACGAGCTGAAACATATAATATAATGAAATAAAAATAATAATAAAAATTCTATGAACAAACCTGTAATTGATATTGAATATGAACGTATTTTTTCATAATCTAAAGTTTTGATTAAATATAATTCTCCTGTATATTCATTTATACGAAATATTCCTGTTGAATCTTCAACTGAATAACTGATACGTGCATTTTCATATTCATCACGATCACTTGCATGAATTTGTAAAATAACTGTATTAATTTTATTATTTTCAGGTATAGATTGTTGATACAATGAACGATCAAATACTGGTGGATTATCATTTACACTAAAATGAAATTCTTTATCAAAAAAAAAAAAAACCCGTAAAATTTCAACATACTCAGTAATAATAATTTCGATTTTTTGTTGACCTGATAATGGTGTTGAACCACCATCATCAGCAATTAATTGTAATAAATAATTTGATTTTATTTCACGATCTAATGATTCGATTAATTTTAATATTGGTTTATTTGTTTGTATTAAACGAAATGGATTGTTTATTGATGGATGTAATTTATAATTTTGTATTGAAAATATACCATAATCATTATCAATAGCTGATTCAAGTGGAATTTCATATCCAATTGGAACATTTTCTGCAATGGGTAATTTAATAAATGATTGTTTAAATGTTGGAGCATGATCATTAATATCTAAAATGATCAAGATTTTCTAACAAAAATTCTTTTTTTTTGTTTTTGTTTACCTTCAATAACAATTTGTATTGTACGAATTGATATATTATTTGTTGAAAATGTTTGTAAAAAATTTAATGTTAATAAACAAAATGAACAATTACATAAATTTTTTTCACAAAATTCTTCACGATCAATACGTTTATCTGTTGTATATAATGATTGATTTTGATTTAAATTAAAATAAATTTTATATATATATGATGATGGTAACCATTGTAGACTATTTGTTGATGATATTGATTGTATTAATAAAGTATTTGGTGGAAGTTCTTCATGAATATATATTATCGATGTATTATTATCAGCTGATATTAAATGAAGAATCATTAAAAATAGAATGAGCATTTTTTTTTTTTTTCTATCTAAAACACAGATGTGAAAATGACTTGATAGAAACACGCACATATAAATAGATGCATGTTTAATAATTGAAGATGAAGTTGTCATCATAATTGTTCTCTCTATTCTTCTCTTTTATCACATATTCATCGACATTTTCGTGATCAAAGAGTAAAAGATGCGGAAACATTTTTACTTCTATCTCAATGAAAAAAAGAAAAAGAAATTTTTATACTCTACGCGATAATACTAATGTCAATAAAATGTCTGCTGTCTCTTTTCGATTATAAACTCTAACTGATTTGATGACCGATCATAAAACAAAAAAAAAAAAAAGAAATATTTTTATACACTTTCAATGTAATCGATAGATTGATGGGAAAAGCTTCATATTTACCTGTGAAAAGAAATTAACAAACAAAATTTCCAAGGTTTAATCACGTTAAAAAAAGAAATCTTAATGCATTAACTAACATATAGATGTTAAAAATGAAAGTCGACACTTACTGTTCGATGTGACGTTGCTATGTAAAGACGATGTTCATCGGCTTCTTAGCTCTTCAAGTCTGATGTTACATCAGTTGTGACAAAAGTAAAATGAAAAGAAGAGAGAACAAAAAAAAATGTTTCTTCTATGTTGTCAACGGTTTTGTCATTCAAGTAGTTCAGCCAGAGGGGGAGTATATATATTTATATACATATAGTTTGTAACAGAGTAGATAGGAATACAATTACATGTATGTATATACCTTACACATATGAGCTAATTCATGTTCTCATATATATGTACAGAAAGAAATTATATTTTCTTGTTAATTATTGTTCAATATCTCACCTAGACGTCGAAAAATCGATTTATTAGTTTTCGTTGTTTTTCATTAAATATAAATAAAAAATTCAAAACAGCAGGAATGAATAATGATGATGGTCACAACTGTGTTTTGGTTCAGAAAAAAAAACGAAGAGAAAGAGAAAGTGAGATTGATCTCTCTCATCTTTTTCTCTTCTTTCTAGGTGTATACGTACGTACGTACGTACGTACGAGCTGGTTCCTTTTTTCTCTCTCGTTTGTATTGTTCAGCCGAAGAGAAGAAAATGAACTTTTTCTCTTTTTTTCTTCTTCTTTTTTTTTTTTTATTAATTTGGTTCTCACTTTCTCTCTCTCTCTCTTTTGCCTATAGATCTCAACCTCATTAAATTAATCTTTTTTACATTCGCTTCATTTAATATTGAAAGTTTAGTTATAGTCAACGAACGGTACAACGATAACCGTGTATGAACCGAAACTGACAATTTAATTGACTTTTAAGATATCGAGACGATAGAAGCGTGGAAAACAGGTGAAGAAAAAAAATTTGATCTTTGTCTCTCTATATATAAAATGTCGGTTTTAACATCAGAGAGATAAATATTTTCGCGTCACTGTCTCTCAATCATAAAAACACATTTATATTTACAATTGATTGTTTCATCGATCAATATAGAAATCGATGACATCATAAAATGTTATTTCGATTGATCTTGTCGTCATTTTATAACTAAGATATCGATCATTTGATGATCAATAATCATATATATATATATGTATATATCTAGAACTAGTAGTAAATAAGATCTTTAGAAAAAAAAAAATGAAGTAGTTATTTCCGCCATGTGTCACATCGATTTGCTGTTTTAATCAAATTGACCATCTCATTGAAAAATGATAGAGAAACCCTAAATTAGACCTATATGACACTTGTTCACTTTCTTCCGGCTGAACTAACCGTAAAGGGAAAGATGACCATCTGCAATGTACATGTACTTGTTGTCTACCTGTTTCAATAGATTTTATATCTCACTTATATTCGAATGAATGAATGAATATCATTGTAACTTCACGCATAAACACGTGCTAGTCATTCATATTAGAAAGACAAATGATAATGATAACATCGAATTTATATCAAATATAATTATGAAATGATAAATACTAACATATTCGTTTTTTACAATCTTATTAAAAGAAATCCTATCATAGATCATTATTCAAACAATTCTACTTCTCTTTTTTTTTTTAATAAAGGAAAAAGTAGATGAATGCCGCAGGCAGGAAGTTAATGCTACAAATTAAATAGAATGACGTTAAACACTTTTTCCTCATAAAAAAATAAAAGAAACTTTCTTTTTTTCCTTTATTTAAAAGTAACATATAAATTCTCATGTCTACAGTCGTTTATCATATTTAAAAAAATATATATTCACCTGAACAGATGGTGATTTCGTCTCGTCAATGATCATCATTTGGCATTCTCGTGTGAGCTATAAATCTTGTCCACACATTCGTTGGTCATTTTTCTTAACCCTACCTACATGTATATGTGAATACACGCGTGTTAGTGTCAATGTCTATATGGACATTCACGTCACTTGACATTTGTTCTTGAATATAGACGAATAAAAAAAAATACAAAACAAAAGATTCAATTCGTTCTCTTTTGTTAAATATAATTTACATCTTTGGTGCCATAGTACATAAGCGCGGTATTCATCTTCTGCTCAAAGGTACCATAAATATGTGTACAGTCGCACTGTCTATCCATCGGGACTCAATGTTTGTATGCTTATACTCATTAGAGAAATCGTCGTGAACGTATTTGTCATCACACAACAGTCGCGTGAATGAACAATAGGATCAAAAGAAAAGCGCCTAGGCTCTGATATACATACACGCGAATAAAAGACTTATGCTCGTGACTCTCTTGAAAAAATAGACTTGACCATCGTCTTCTGTTTATTTCAACAACATTAAATCACTTATCGATTTCAATCGATAAATAGATATTTCCTGTCTATTTCAAATTGAAACACTTGAGACAGAGTGAATACTAACTATTGACACATATACATCATTTTTTATCAATACAAAATAGGTTGATTCATTGCATGTGATATGAAAACAATGAATCTTTTAAAAAGCCATTGTTAATTTTTTTTTTGTTTTATTTTTTTGTTGTTATTCATCCAATATTTTGAATAATTAGTAGTAAAACTACTTTTATTCTTTATCACGCGATTGACACCTTTGATGTTTCGCTTGATTGAACTCTCTCATTTTATATTTACCCGATACTTCATTTCACTGAAAATTACTTCCTTGTTTGCTCTTCTTCAATATTGAACTACATAGTTTATTGTGATAGATCAAATTACTGTTCATCGATTTCTAATTGACACACATGCATACTCATGTCAATATACATCAGATATATGTATATATATATATATATATATATATATATATGTATGTGTATATCAAGAGTAAAGGATTAGAGTTCATCAGCATCTTTGTATTTATCTAACTATATGAACACAAATACAATGTTCAACGGAAATCATGCATACTATACAAAACAACAACAAAGAAAAATATAGAATTGCTGATATTCATCATATTGAACAAATGTTTGAGTAGAATAAATTTATGTTCAATAGACAAATGATTGGTTTAAAAGAATTATTAATTAGATTATTGAAGTAAAGTTTTATTGTTGAAAATAATTTATTAATCTAAATAATTCGATTATAATCTTTGGTAAAATATTGATTTTGAAATATCATTCAAAAGCAAATAGCTTTTCTACTTGTATTAATAATTTTCTTTTTCTTTTTAATTATTTTATAGGAAGAAGATATAATTGTTAACATCTGACAGTATTACAATTCTTAATATAGACAAAAATATTTGTTTTTTTTAATGTTTTTTAATTATCGCACGGCGTTCATTCGGTGTGGTCGATACACCAAGCCGTTTACGTTTTACACCACTGATACTATTTTGTGTTAAATTTTCATTTTGTTCAATATTACTTAATTTGTGTTGTTGAGATTGTAATGCCTGTGAAGTATTGTATAATTCATCACATGCCTGAAGATAGATATTTAATAAGATTTCAAGAAAAAAATAAATAAATAAACCAATTTACTCGACAAAGCTCATCATCATCAATATCATCACTAAATTGATCATATTCTTGTTTGGTAGTAGATTGCGACATAATCTGTTCAGCACGTTGCATCGATGTTGATGAGATTACAATCGGCTTAAAGAAAAATATAAATAAAAATTTTTTAAACAAAAAAAATCCTTAACAAGTTATTTCAATATCTAGACGAATGTAAGAAACTATTAACGTAAACAGATTGAAGATTAAAGTCCATCGGATTGATCCTGGATCAGATGGATTCTATATAGTTTTTTGTACTCAAATTTTTACAAATCTTTCAGTAAGAACAATATCATGTTATAGTTGTTTATATCTGTTCTTCATACACCAAATCAATTGTCTCGTTATTCTAATATTTCAAGATAGTTTCAACATATAGAATTACGAATTTCCGTAAAATTTAGTCCTGTTTTCATAGTTCACCTGGTCAAAATGTCAGCTCTCTATGTTATATATTTACTCTGTCAGATTAGAAATACTAAAAATGATGTGCTTAAATGTCACTCAGAATTGATCATCCATCACCCGTAAAAATATAAGGAGCGTGTGAATGTTGGCGTACATATATGACATAGAGAGCTGATATTTTAAACAAATAAACTATGAGAATGAGACTACAATTTGGCAAAAACTACAACTCTATATGTTGAAACTATCTTGACATATTAGAAAAACAAGATGATCGATTAGATGTACGATGAGTTTTGAATGCCAGTGTATAGTAGTGGACAAGAGTCTCCCCTTCAAACAGATCTCAGCTACCATAGGTACTGCAAGTATGAACATTTTTGTGCATATAATAATTTTCCTTTAAAATTTAAACTTTTAAAAAGAAAAAGTTTTATGGATCAGCTGGTCTCTCTTTATTTACGGCTATGTTCCAACCATTCACGCTATTAATTTCATCGAAGCTCATAAATCCTTGTTAGAACAGTAGTCATTTTACTGCAACTATTCAAGGATCAAAAAGCTTTCGGATGCCATTTGTAGATCGTAACTCAGTAATACTTCAATGAATTGAGCTCAGACTTTTACGGATACTTTGCTCGTAGTTGAACATTATTGCCTACAGGTCTTCGAAAAGAATCTTCTTCTAAAGGGAAATGGCATCTTCAATAATTATCGTGTTGGTACCGAGAGCTCAAAGACATCCAGAGAATATCAAGAATTAGTCATGATTTTTTGATTAAAGATAACGCAAAATTAGGCACCATTCATCATAACTCTCGGTGTATTGATGCTATTGGGGCTACTTGATGCTTGTGACCTACATTATTGATGGAGTAGTGTACATAAATTTCCAGCCCTATTGCAAGTATGGAAGTTGAGATCTGCTGGGAAAGCGGAACTTTTGTCCACTAGTATATATCTTAAAGTTTTCTAAAAATTTAAGTCACGAAAACAACAATGCATGTGTTCGATACATAAATCAATTTAATTAAAATTTTCTTTCTTATCATCCGTTCACCTTTTGACTAGCCGTCATAAACATTGTACTAAATGGAAGTTGATTATCTGACATCAGAATTTCAATCTAGAATATCAACAGAACTACTCCAAATGAGTCTTTATTTCCTAAGATACAAAGAAAAAAAAAGAAAACAATAAATTCATTTAATTTTTAACAGCCTTTTGTTTTTGTACAAAATCTGATTTATGTGTTCCATCACAAAAAGGTCTTTTTTTTGCTTGTTTACAATTACACCACCAAACATCTTTTGTTTCTTCTGCAACATATTTTATTGGTCGAAATTTTGGATTCCGTCGTACATCATGATTTCCCCATACATATTTACACATTCCATCACAAAATGGTTGTGTATGTGCCCAACCACATGCACAATATAAATACGCTCGACCTTTTTCAACACGATATTTAAATGGAATTTTTTCATAAACACGTCCATAAGGTGGTCCTTCTAATGAATATTCATCAATAAAACGTGGTCGTTCTAATGGTAATGCAAGTTTTTCTTCATGAGTTTCAGGTATATGAATTGTTTGTTCAGGATGTGTTATATCAGGATAGGGAACTGTACGATGATTATATCGAATAATCGATAATAAAAAAGGAAATGGTTTGACTAGATGATATGAATTCATCTAAAATAAATCAAGACTAAGAAAATCTATCATTTCCTTTTTTTCTCAATAAATGAACAAATTAATATGATAACTAAATATTGTTATTAAATGGAAAAAAAAATCATTACTGAGAAAGCATATGTTTGAGCAAGGAAATAAAAATCAAATGAGCTATTTCTTTCTTTTCTTTTTTTTTTCTTTAAAAAAAACATTCAGTTATATATTTTCTTTTTGACTGATACGAGTAAATATATTGATTTTTTATTTTTTTGATATTGTCTATTTAGTGACTTCATGAATAGCATTAGCTAAATATGCATTATTTTTTGATGTGACACCAGCCATTGAAATACGACCATCTTTTGTTAAATAAACCGAAAAATCTTTGATTAATCGTTCAGACTAAATTTAAAAATAGTCAATAGATTTTTTTATTTTTTATTTTATTTTCTTACCTGTTGTTGATTAAGCCCTGTAAAACAGAACATTCCTATTTGATCTGTAATATGTTGCCAATTTTTTTTTGAGCCATTTTTTTTTAAATTATCAACTAATTGTTGACGCATTGTTATTATACGATCAGCCATTTGTTTAACTTCTTTTAACCATATTGAACGAAGATCTTGTTGATTTAATATTTTAGCTGCAATACGTGCACCATGTATTGGTGGATTTGAATACATTGGACGAATTAAAATTTTTATTTGAGACATAACTCGTTCAACCTCATCTTTATCTTGACAAACAACAGTACACGCACCAACACGTTCACCATAAAGACCTACAAAAAAAAAATTTATTCAATAAAAAATATGAAACATAAATATAAATACCCATATTTTTAGCATAAGATTGTGCTAACATAAGATTATGTTTATCATCAATAAATTTTCGAACTGCAAATGCATCATCATCAATGTTTCCACTAGCAAAACCTTGATAAGCCATATCCATAAAGACAAATAATTTACGGTTTTTTACAATAGATGATAATTCTTTCCATTGTTCAGGTCGAGGATCGACACCGGTTGGATTGTGCTTTCAAAAGAAACAAAAAAATAAATTGAATAAAATTTAAAAAAAAAAACAAAATCACATACTGCACAAGCATGAAAAAGAATAATTGAATTTTCTGGTATTTTTTCAATATCTTCTTTTGCACCATTAAAATCAAAACCACAAGTTTTTGAATCATAATATCGATATGATTTAACATCAAGTCCAGCATGTTTCATAATTGGTGTATGATTACCCCATGATGGATTTGGTAAATAAATAACTTTATTTCCAGGAAAAAATTTTGCCTAGAAAAATTATTTATTTTTATTTATTTTTTATAATATAAAATAATAAATTATTGATTTACCAAAAATGCAGCTCCTATACGAAGTGAACCTGTTCCACTAATACCTTGTGTAGTAGCAAACTAACAAAAAAATAAATAAATTACAAATAACAATTGTTTATTTACATACTAATTGATCTTTAATAACTCGTGAATCATCACCGAAAGCTAATTTTGCATTTGCTTGACAAAATTCTGGTATACCAGATATTGGTGCATATTCTTTATCAAGATTTTCACTTGCAATTAATTGTTCTGCTTTTTTAACACTTTCAAGAACAAATGGTTTGCCTTCATCTGTACGATAAGCTCCAACACCCAAATTAACTTTAAAAAATATTGTTTTTTTATAGATTATTGAAAATGATTTATTGATTTTATTTTTTACTTTTTTTTGGATTAGTATCTCGTTTAAATGCTTCTGTAACACCAAGAATTGCATCAGGTGGACCCATTTCAACCTTTGACCACCATGAACTAAAGAAAAATGAATAAGACTTTTTCAGTTAAGAAAAAAAAGTCAAAATTAAAAATTTACTTTGTCGAAGCAAGACGAGAAACTTTTGATATGATCCATAATTGATGTTTATTTGCTAAACTAAGTGTTCGGCTAACACTCATATTTATTAATGTGTCGGGTCAAAAATCTAAACATCAATAAATATGTCATTATATAATTCATAGAGAATTTCAATCAATATTTCGAAGCAAAACATAAAAAATAAAATCATTCAAATGAATACTTTCCACCAACTATTCGAATTAGTTATCAGTACATTCTGATAAAATCCTCATCCATAAATATGTCCAAGGACTTGAATAAATAGAAGCAAAGTATATTTATAGAGGACGCTAATATCCGTTTATGATAGAAAAATTATCTCTTCAAAGGTTAACTTTTTTTCTTGTAAATAAGAACTTTTCCGTTTTGTTTGATCCGATAAAAATCTTTCTTAATTATATTTGTAATAGTTTTGATAAGAAGCAACATCCTACGCTAATGAGCATTTCTATAACATATTTTTTCAAAAATATTTTAAAATATTTTTGAATCGGACTTTATCTTATTTTTAATATCTCAAATCTATTGCACTTTTAACTTTGAGATTACGATAAGATGTTATAGAGGTATTATATTTTTCTTTTGTGTTCTTCAATAATTTCAAAAATATTAAATATGAAGATATATCTTCATATGACACTCGACTATCAAGGTTTTTGTCTATTCTATAATGATTGCTTAGTTATTTTGCATGTTATCAAAAATATAAAGATCGGTATAGATATTATTAATTATATCTACTTGTATACGATATATAAAATTGAACTGACTTTGTAAGCAATAATAACAGCTACAAAATTTTTCAAGTAGTATAAAAGGTGTCTAATAAGTTTTGATCCCTTTCAAGTAATATTCTTTTCTTATATGTTTTTTCATTGGAATAGGCTCATATTTGCAGCATATATACTTAACATCTAGATCTACTCTATCCAAGAATTTTCAACTTTCTATCTCTCATAGTCATAGAGATACAAGTAACATCAAATTCAATAGGAAGTTTTTTGAATTATTTTCACAAATAGTACGGATGAAAAAATTGTAGTTATTCAATAATTCGTTCATAAAGAGTAACTTTTAGTTTTCTGCATATCACTTCTACGTTGTGTCATTTGTCATTTTTTAAAAATACTAACTTGGTATCGATTTTTCAAGATGATCAGTGTAGCAAACATCGAACAACAATTGCGATGCTTTTAGTAGATTTTTAGAAAGGATTGAACTTGATATGAATAATCATGGCAACTGTTCGCAACATTTGATAAAATAAAATTAAAAATATCTCATTATCTTTATATTATTCTTTGATGTTTTTAGAACTTTTGGTTAGACCTAAGTATTTGGTTTATACCAAAAATGTATGTACAACAAGGACATCAAAAAACAATACGATATTGTATAAATGAGTAGTTTACACAAGAAGAAAATCTTTTGATTTCATTCTAATAATGAAAAAGGCATAAATAAATAGTAGTAAATGAAAAAATTTCTTTTTCTTTTTCTTTTTGTTGAATTCTCGATTATATTATTGCTATCGTCATCGGGCCAATTTATAAGACATAAACTGGATCACATATACTACAATAAGCTCTTTCAACCCAGCATATTATCTACGAGATGACATACAGAATGCAAAAGAAATATTTAGCATTCTGTCGTCTTCTTAGACGACGGATACCATACAATGTGTTTTGAAAAAAATCGTTTTTTTTTGCGTGCGTGCAGAACGCAACAGATTAGAACTGCTCGTCCCGAGAACATAACTTGTGTTTTCAAGTAGTTGATTGGTTGTACCGCTAGAATCGAGTAGAATTCAAGTTGCTACAAGAATGTTTGTAGTCGAGGTTCCAGATTTAGACATTCATCTGTAAATCTAATTCTAATTTGTCTCGCCAGCATGATAATTCTATAGAAAATGAAAACAAAATTTCATCATCATTTTCATCAAATTCGAATGGATCAATAGCTAGTGAAAAATTGAGAAAAGAAGAGAAATTTTTATCAACATTAGTTCATCAAGATTTTTTTAAACGATTCATCATCATCAAAGATGGATAATTTAACACTTGTTTGGCTCGATACAGAAATGAATAATCGATCAGAGAATATTGATATTCAAATAAGACTAAAAAATGTTATTAATTATCTTCGGATATTTGATCAAGTTGAAGCATGTGAACAATATATTGAACGAGTCGGTGAAATAAATACTATTAATAAAATCAACGAAGAAAAATTACTTTTGGTGATTTCAACAACACTTCCCTTAACAATTATTTCACATGTTCGTGACCTTCCTCAAGTGAAAGATATTTATATATACAGAAAATCAAAAACGCATGATACAACTATTCAAGAATTTTTAAAAAATTATACCAAAGTATATATGCAATATTATAATATTCTTTGAAGGAGACAAAAAGAAACTATCCAAAAAAGATAGTTTATATATATATTGATTGTAGATATATCTAATATTGAGCTTAACTTTGTTGAACTGATCCATATTTACACTTGATAATAGGATTTTGTAGATAATAGACTTCAAGTAAGTCTTATTATCTACAATTTGAATTCAAAATAGTTACATTATATTTAATACTTACAATGAAAACTCCACAGCTGTTGAAAAACTTTTGAGCTGGATTTGCATTCACAAGGTAAGAAATGTATATACCAGAAAAATTCTAAAATGATTTAAGTGCAAGTTACGATTTGGCTGAGATATCAACTGTTTAGCATAATTATCCTGAAATACTCAACTTTTCCGATAAAATCAAACTTTGTCCACATCAAAGCATCAATTAGACTAGCTTATCCATTGTGTTTTAGACTATTTGGACAAATTATCTTCGAGATATTCGTGTGTTAGTAGAAGGGCGATTTTTTTTATTTAAATTGTACTATGCATGAATATTTTGGAATAAGAATCTCATATTGATAATTTGTTCCTAATAACGGGAACGTGTATACATGAAAACCGTCGGATTTTTTTTTCGACCGACCTGTTGGAATTCTTGACTTAATCGGAAGACATACAATGTAAAACTCATATACCACTTGAAGTTTCTAATAGTTACAACTCCTACTTTAGTCTATCATATTTCATACGTGCTAAGATTAAGAACAAGCACAGATTTCTTTCAAAACGTTTCATCTAGTAACTCATAGCAACTAATATTTATATTATACTTTAGCTCGCTTTTGTTCAATAATATGATTTTTTCTTATACAATGGATAAGTTTGTGAAAGGCATCTAAATTCATAAAAGGATAGTATTGCTGACAGAAAGATAAGATGAACTAAAACATATGATTTTTATATTAGACTTCCTTTTTTAAGATTTTTTAATATGTAAACATTTTCATAGTTGCATGATGCTGATAGTTGGCAAGACTTTGCTAATACGATGAAATCTTTGTGATATTTTGTAATGAAAGTATGAACTGAAAACTACTAGCTATTGGCATTTTATGAAAATCGGTTAAAAACAGTCTAGAAAAGTGAGCTCGAAATTTCGAGATGAAAAATTTTTTAGTTTAAACCAAAATTAATTTCTAGTACCCAATTAACTTTTGGTCAGCATAATAAATTCATTCAGTATTATACGAGATTCTTATCGTATGATGAGAAAGTGTTAGCTTACTTTTTACAGCTGAGATTTTGATGTCGACCAGTAGTTTGTTAGTTGGCAACTTCCAGGCTATGTCGCTTGATCATTAAAATCATTAAAATCGTTAATAACGAGCAAAATGGGTCAACTTTAGTGCTCTAAAAATCAATAAAAAACCAATTGATCCAGTTCTAAGTATGAGAACATCTAACAGCCTCACATAAAAACAATGGCAAAATTATATGAACACCTCGATATACATATACAAAAAATTCTAGAAAACTTAGTTTGCGATGCGTTATCGTTCCTGGAGAACGGGACGTTCAGGAACGAGAATTCTGATGCTCCTACCTGGGGAAATTAATATTGCAGAGATAATTTATCCAAAACTTCTGAAATATTCTGCGTGTAACTTGTGCTTATATCCTCTTAGGGTTATTCTAGTATAAACATTCTTCTACTTGTGGACGAAATTCATCCAATATAAACATTACACTATCATCGGCTTTTATATAAAGCAACGTAGTTTGCTCGTGCTTTAGAATGATAAAAATGTTCGATCGACTTTCTTGTTAAATACTTTCATTTGTTTATAGTAGAAAGTATTTTATTGAAGAAATTTTCTTTTATTGTAAATGATTGTAATATCTGACAATACATATGTCTAATATCTTTAAAAGTTACTTTGTTTTTATTTAGATAGATTAAAGGAATGTTTACTACGTCTCAATCTTTGTTTGCTCAAATAACTCAAGATCAAAATTAAACAGAAGAAAAAACATTTCAAAAGTTTTTATTTTATTTTTTTCGTCGTTCAATAAATTTTTGTCGTTCAACCATTTGTTCCCAACATCGATGATCAAGTTTACTTAAATCATCATATTGTGCTATCATCATTAAATATTGTGTTAAATTAAATAACTCTCTATCAGTTGTACGTGTAAAATGTGCACGTTTAAATGGACGAATTTTTAAACCGTTTAATGGATTTAATAAAAAATTTCTTGACACATCATCAAACATAATTGTATTTTTTTCTGAATAAAGTGTTGGATATTTTTCCCATATAACTGGTAGTGGTTTAACATCTTGTAAACCAAATTCTTTTGTATAAATAGATATCATTGCACCAGAGTCCCTTAAGAAAAGAAAAAAAATTCTTTTTTGAAGTTTTCTTATCTTTTTTAAGGCACCAGCAATATGAAATTTGAGGAAAAGAAATTTTTTTTTTGACATTTATTTATTTTGGTTGGATAGAGCTCGTCGAGTTACTTATAGAAGTATGGTTTTTGATATATACAGACGATGTTTTTGCATAACGAATGATTTCTACAAAGCACATACATGTATGATATTAGCTGCTACTACTCAGAAACAATGACTCAAATAAGACGTGAAATATGAAAAACAAAATCTAATCATAAATCCTTGAGAGTGCGCATTTCCCTAAAAATTTTCATTAAAACGTGTTTTACTTGACAAACTAACAAACTATACATCATTCGATGTACTTTTTCACGCTGATTCTCAATATCTCATCACTTTTGTTTGAAAAAAAAACCTTTCAAGGCCAGAAAATCATGATAAACCTGAAAATCTCTAACCTAGTCCAAAAGCTTTTACGCACCTTTAAGTTTAGTTAGTAGACATGCTAGATAGAAAAAAGTATTCTGTTAAAATTTCATCTAGTTTAGAGCTATGCTTTGAAGTGTGCCCGTCCACTATACTGAACACATCTTTTCGTATAACTCTTAGTTGAGAGAGAGAATGCTTACTTTTTTCGATGATAAAAGTTTTAGAACAAATCTGTTTTTTTATGGAACAATAGAGCGAGATCTCTACTTTGAGAATCTGCATGATGTATTCCTAAAGTTTTCTAATTTATTTGCAAAAAAGATACTTTTTTTCCTAAGATAACAAAAGTCACTGTGTTTTGTAGAGAAACTTCGAAAAATTAGTTTAAAAAAAAGGTTCCTAAAAGTTTAAATACATCAAAAGTATCAAGTTTCGGTAACTTCAATATTTATCCAAATTTTTTTTTCGATTTAATTCGTCATTTGGTTAGGAACAAAAAAAGATTATGCAGGCTTCTTGAAAAATACAATTGGATTGTTAAGAAAATCAATTTTTTTATGAGAGCAAAAAAGTCATAAATTCGTGTTTGTATTCTAAGGTTCTGATCATCAGAATTACGGTTTCAGAAGAAACTAATATTATATTCAGAATCAGTGTCAAAACAAGTTACTCAATACTCAAAAGTAATTTTCGTCAAATTTCGATCTTAACGAAAATACGGATAGAGTAACAAGTAACTTGTTTTTGCACTGATTTTGAATATAATATTCAGTCCTTCTGAAACTAAAATTCTGTTGGTCAAAATCTTAGAATACAAATTTGTATTTATGACGTTTTGTTATTATAACGAAAAAAATCGATTTTCTCAACAATAGTTTTCATAAAACCATGCATCATTTTTTTTCTTACTATATAACGAGTAAGGTCGTAAAGAAAATAATTTCAATAAATATTGAGGTCACCGAGGCTTGGTGCTTTTGGTGTATTTTAATCTTTATAAAGTTTTCTGTTTCTGATTTTTTTTTGAAATCTAATTTTTACTACGAAAACGAATCTGAACATGAGAGAAACAACATTTCTGTAGGTACCTCAATGAACTTTATCCAACTATAATAAAAAAAAATCGTATTTTTTTTCTCATATTTCAAACTGTCAACACCTTATCTTTCAACATACATATAAAAAATAATTTTATAATTAAATGTTGTATTTGTTGTTCGACCTTGTGAAATAGCTTCAATACCAAGTAATTTCATTTTCGATTCAATCCATTTCATAGACGTAGCTGACCATATACCAATATCATAATGTTCATAAACTGTTGTTAAAAATTCATGTAAATATGGTCTCATTAATTCTGCACCTGTTTCAGCAGCACTACGATGATCAAATAATGTATAATCAATATCTAATACAAGTAATTTTTTTCCTTGTCGTGGTTCATTTAAAATTTTTCCTTGATATGTATTTATTCGACGTTCTAATTTAATTCGTACTTCTTCACGTTTATCTAATGGTATTGTATCAGGATCTTCAATCCATGTTGTATCTTGTTGTTCTTCTTCTTGTCCTTCAGATAAATCAGGTTGAACTGGTTTTGATAAATTTAATTCTGTTATGGATTCTTCTGGTGTACCCATTAACATTATCTTTGATGAAAGATTTAATTCATCTATTGTTGTTGTATTTGTTATAACACCTGATGTTTTTAATTTTAAACCCATTAATTTTTGTCGATCAGGTAAAATATGTGTTTGTTCATAAATTAAACTTTTCAATTCACTTAATGTTTTTGTTGATTGAAGATCAAATATTAATTCTTGTTTATTCCATTTTAGAATTATTTTATGTTTATTATTATTATTATTATTATTATTATTCATCTTCAAAAATCAATAAAAATTTTTTATTTTATTTATTTTCTATTTGTCAATATATATATGAAAAAATAAAATAAAATAAAACAGAAAAAAAAAGAACGACATTCTCTTCTCTATTATTATTCTACGACCCAGACGAAGAAGTGAATGAGAAGAAAAAGAAAATTGATCCGAAAGTTTGTTGTTTGTTTTTGATTTCGTTCGCATTTGAATTAGTTTTCTTTTGTACTTGCAGCATGAATCAAATCTTCATAGGTTTGCAGCCACATGCGACCTGACTTTTCAAGTGATCTAAAGACAAAATAAACGAACTTTAAATGAACGTCGAAAAATAATCTTAGAAATTTGTTTACGTTAAAATATCAAGAAAAGCTCGTCCCAAAGGTTTAACAACATATGGAATGTTATATTTTCGACATAATTCCATTACTTCTGGTTGAATTTTATAGAGATTATGACGAGGCATCGTTGGAAATAAACTAGAAAATACATAAAAAGAAAAACAATTCTATTTTCTTGTCCAGAATAATTAATTTTCTAATTACTGATGTTCAATTTGAAAATTTAAATGACCGGTAAACCAATCATTAAATGGTGATTTAACTATATTACATGTTGCTTTTAATTGAAGTCGAAACCATGATAAACTGAAATCATCATACGAAACATCCATAACAACATGATTTGATTGTGCGACAATGACTGTTCAAAAAAAAAATATTTCTATGCAAAACAAAAAAAAAAACATTTTATTTGAAAACAAGACATACCGAACCAAGTACCTTCGAGTACACTATAAAGAAAGAAAAATAGAAAAATAAATAAAAAATGATTTCTAAAAAGCATAAGCTTTAATTACCGCAATAAAAAGTAATATTTTAATGCTCCGAGTAATCCAAGTTTTAATGGTATTAATGAAAAGAATTTTATGTAATACATAGATAACCAAGCAAGATCCTAAAAGAAAATGAAATAAATCATTTATTTTCCTTTTTGTAAATCTTACTGTCCATTTTCGTCGTTTAACAGCATGTTGTATTGTCATAAATTGAAAATAGATAGGAACTAAAAGTGGTGCCGCTAAAATTTTTTAAAACTAATGTATATTCTTTAAATCTATCATTAATTGATTTTTACCAATAAAAAAATATAAATGTTGAAGATTATAAGGTATTTTTGTCCTGTATTTTGCATTTATTTGAGCTCTCTATAATGCAGAAAATCGTCTTATGATAAAAAAAAAAAAAGAAAAAAATTACTCGTATTGGAATTGCATTTCCTAATAAAAATAATGGTTCTAAGCGAGTATCTGGATCTCTATCGATGACATTTGGTTTTGCATGATGTTGAAAATGCATATGATTCCACCAATCAGGACTTGCTCCCTAAAAAAGAAAACGTTTTATTATCATTCAAAAAAAATCAATATTTTATAACAAACTTTGATGAAACCCATAAAAAAATTATGAACGACATGATTCCATGAGGATTTTCTGAATACTGATAAATGTCCAAAATCATGTTGAGTCCAACCACATTGAGCCTAAATTAGAAGAACAATGAATAAATGTCAAAAAACAACACAAAAATTAATAAACAAACTTCAGCAATAGTATAAAAAAGAATTGATGCTAAATAAGGTAACCAAGTCGTGCCAAAACGAAATAGAACAAAATAAGCTGCAAACTCAAAAGCCAATATATGTAAACAAGTTAGAATATAGAAGAATCGACTCGATTGAAAAAGCTTCTGAAATACAATTAAAAAATCGTTTTTTTTTTCGTTATCATGAATAAAAAGAAACTTACTTTAGAAATAGCCTTTTGTCTTAATTGTTCAAAATCATATTTTAATGTTTGATCATCTTTTGTATTGTCTTTATCTTCATCGTTGATTACATCACCTATATAAAATGCTGTGAGATATTTTTGAACTAGTGCAAGATTAGAATGAAAAGCAAGAAATGCTTCCTATAAATGAACAACTTTATTTTCATTTTTTTTTTTATTAATATCTTATTTCTTACACTAGCATCTTGTCCTGCATAATGATTGAGAACAACTTGTCCACCGGGATGTTTCGTCCAATTAGTAACATTATAAACACATTTATCAATAACAATCCATCGATCTTTTTTGTTTGAATGACGACGAATTTCATCCCATGTGTATTGTCGTTTATCAATTTCATTATTGATAACCGTGGGATTTGTCGTTGTCACTATTGATGATTCTTGCTGTTGATTATCAACTAATAAGGGAGGATCCCAGTTTTTACGGCCTCTACCCATAATCTTCAATGATCTATCGGTAATATTCTATGATATTTTATTTTTTTTTAGTTAGAAAATCTAGTTGAGAAAAATAGTATGAGGAAACCTATTTCTATTATATGATGCATAATGTATCTTTCTTTTTTCTCTCTCTACTTTTTTTACCTCGTTATTCTAAACTGACAAGACGAGTATACGACAAAAAGAATGGCATAAACTTTTTTTATCTCATTCATATAGCTTACTTCCACAGGTGGTATTCGAGGACTGCGGCTTGCAACCAACTTCTTTGTAACTGTAAACAAGAAGAGAAGAAAAAAAAAGAACAAAGACAGAAGGTATTACCGACACATGCATGCATGTCCCACCTTGTAGTTTCTATGGATTTTTCTCTTTTTTTTATTTTTCTTTGGTTTCATTACAAAAAGGAAAGAAGAAGAAAGAATTAACACTAAAATAAATGCTTCCATTAATGGACATGAAACATGTCGATAATTATAAGAAAATAAGAGCAAAGAGTAAACTCTCATTTTTACGAAAAACTAACAAACAAATCGTTGCAAGTTCTTTCTGAAATAAAAACGATGTAAAAATGAACAACTAAATTATTCATCTCATCTCAAGAGAAGAAAAACAGCAAACATACTGTGATATATATATATAGATGTATATTATAAAAAAACACAAATAATTTTTATTCCAGGTTCCAGGAGATTATATATGAAAGAAAGAAACGAAAAAAATTATGTTAACGTAAATAGCACTGGCATTGATTTGTACTTATGTCAATAGTTGACACTGGCAAAAAAAATTCAGGCAAATTTCACTATTTGATTTTCAGACACAAACAATACTCTGACTTTTTTTTTACAATGTACTTATAATGACAAAAAAAAATAGAATTCTCAGTATTAAATGAAAGACTAAAATAAATACAAAAGTATGAAAATTTTTCGAAATGATCAATATGTTATTATTACAAACTTCTTTCATAATGAAAAAGAAGTTATTATTTGAGTGTAATATACTTGCTATGAACGTAAAATAGAACATTGACAAGAGTCAATGTAATGGAAATGATGAGGAAAAGTCTTTTGTATAGTTATGAATCAGAAAACAAAAGCGAGCATATAAATTGAAATAGGTAGAATAACCAATTTCATTTCGAAATTGATCTCTTTCATGAACAGAGTGAATTTAAGACATACAAATAGAATTATACAACTGAGCTTAGATGGTCAATTAAAAAAAGTAAAACTCTTATAGGTTTATTGCATTCATAGAAAATAGAAATTTTCAAATTAAATCGTTTTATTCAATTTTGTTAAACGTTGACTTAATTCCCATAATTGTTGGCATTGTTGTCTATCATTTGCAACTGGATTCATTTCAGCTATAGCCGGTCGACAATATGGTGGTGGTAATAATTTACTAGGAATAAAATAAGCGCCGCGTATATTGTTTTGTTCAATATCAGGATGAGTAGCAACAAACAGTGTTGTCATAGCACCATTATCAATTGATCGCATAAATGGTCTTATCAAACGTTCGCTCCATTTATTATTTCTCCAAATTGATGTTTTAATTACACCCTTGAAATAAAAATAACATGGAACTATTATTTACAAAAAAAAAGAAATAATAATAAACGCAACCAGGTCTATTAGAATTCAAGAATGAAGCGAACTTGACAAGTGCAATTTTGACTATTGAATAGAATATCGATAATTAACAAAAAGATCAATTACTCTGACTATCATGATTTTCAGATAGCAAAAATATCGTCTAGAGCATTTTCATAGAATTTAAATATTGTTTTATATGTGCATTTCATTCCCAGTTAATGATTTATTATTTTATATAGATAATCGGTAGTTTTCTTTTGTAACATGACGAAAGAGGCGAATACTAAATTTATATATTATACGAGGATTAAGTATTCGTTTATGCTAAGGGAATGTTTTATAAAATATCCCTAGTCTTTTTCTGCATATTGAGATCTTTTTATTCTACAAAAGAAAAAAAAAGTATTCTAAAAATCAAAGTACACAATAATTGCGAATAGCTTTTTCTATGCACAGACAACTGTCTTGTACTAATTCTGACAAAAAAAAAACATCAAGTAACTAGATAGAAAGCATGTAAAAATTATTAATGCATATAATCAATGATTGTACGTTCTCGGTCTTCATTATTTTCAGTCAATATTCTAATTAATGTTTTAGATAATAGTAAAGACTGCACTTTTTCAGTGCGTTTTCTTTTCATTCTTGAATTATGAACAAAATAGACATATTCTTCACTACATCGATCATGTACACTCTAAAAACATTTCCTCTTGAAATCAGTTTTCTAGAGATTCTATCAAGTTTTAAAACAAAAATGTTTGTCTTACAATCATCTAGAGATTCTGAAGGAAGATTTGTACTGCTTGGAATTGGTTTTCAACTTCTGATTGAGTTATAAGAGTATTTTTTCGTTTGTATATCTGTACTCAGTCATATCGCTAACGAAGAGTAAATCGATTTTTTTGAAAAAATCTAGCCATGCTTAGAAGAAACTTTTGACAGAGATTTTGTAGTCGCAGAAATTGTTTACATTTCGTTTTCAAAACTGCTGCCTCAATTCACAGTTTTTTTTAAATTAAAATGTATGAAGTGAAAGTCGATGTCCTTTTATGTGTCATGTTGCTAACGATTTAAATCTTACGGGATGTAAAATATTGCAATAGACTTTCGATTCAGGCCCAAGTCGATGTACAAGTTCTGTACACATCATAACATTGGCTAATTTTGATTGACAATAACATTGATAGCCTGCTCGCAATTTACCAATGGATGATGTGGGAAAAGGTTGATTACGTTTTTGATCATCATATTCAATATTTGATACGTGCAAATGTGAATGACTAGATACAATAACAATACGTGATGGTATAGATGCTTGAAGATCATCTAATAATAAATTTGTTAAAAGAAAATGTCCTAGATGATTTGTTGTAAATTGTATTTCTTCACCGATTTCAGATAATCGAAACTCCGATGAAAATATTCCAGCATTATTTATTAAAAGATGTAAAGGTAATTGTCGCTGATGAAAATCATCAACAAATTTTCGTATACTGGTCAATGATGAAAGATCAAGTTGAATAAAATCAATAGGAGCATCAGGCATATTAATTTCTTGTCGAATAGTATTAATAGCATGTTGTGCTTTTTCTTTATTACGTGAAGCAATAATAACATGCCAACCTTTTCGTACTAATTCACGTGCTGTTACTTTTCCAATTCCTTCATTAGCACCAGTAGCAACAGCTACACGAGAGTGTGATTCAATTTGTGGAATTTCATTAAAACTATACTATGGCATCTAGAAAAACAATAAAAAATAAAAATTACTTATTTAATTATTTTTCTTATACGTCGTTGATCATCAATGGTAAATATATAATTAAAAAATTTATTACTTTCATTCATCATTTCGAATAAATTTTCTGTATAATTAATCATATTAATATAATGATATCTTCGATTATGTTGTAATAATGAATGATCTATTTGATATAACATATCATCTCGAGATGGTAATAATATTTTTCCACATAAAACACGTGCAACTATATGTGATTGTATTTCAGCAAGTGGAAATGGTACAATACGATAAGGAATAGCCAAAAACGAAAGTGTACCATCAGGGAAGTCAGCATGAAATAAATGTTTATATAATGGATAAACATAATGATTTTTTAATAAACGATTTTGATCAACTTGTAATTTACCTTGAAGAAAAGGCATTCGATATTCATAACCAGTGGCAAATATGATTAAATCAGGTTTAACTGAAGTTTGATTTTTAAAATAGACTGTATCCTTATCAATACGTTCAATAGGTGGTACTATAGAAAATGTTGTTGATAAATAATCCGTACATAATTGTTTTCCACTTTGTCGAAGTTGATTAAGAACGCGTTCAAAATCCTTTTGATTTTCTTCTTTCATACTTAATATTACTTGTTTAGCTACTGGTGCTAATTCACCGCATATATCAACACCAGACTGACTAGCACCAACGACAATCACACATTTATCTCGATAATGATTGGCTTCTCGATACGAACGAGAATGATATATTGGAAATGTTTGACTATATAAACCAGAAATATCATCTGGGATATACATTTCAGAATAATGACCGTTTGCTACACATATTGCATCAAATTGTTCTGAATAAACTGCATAATATTCATTTTTCTTTAATAAATTTTGATAAGGACGTTTAGATATTTCATTCTTTGTATCAGTACGTACTGTATACGTAACTGTAAATGTTTCATCAATTGAATCAACTTTTGCATTTAGAACGATATATTTAAATAATTGATGTTTTTCAGCATAAGCAATTAAATATTCTTCTACTTCTTTACAACTAATATAAGATTCAGGTTCATTATTTGGAAATGTAAAATCACTAAATTGCATAACAGAACAAGGTAAATTCGTTCTTAAATCTTTATAAACAGCTGTTGTCTCTGATATGCCATCAGGATCATAATGCCATTGACCACAAATAAATGGATTTTGTTCAAAAATAGTCGGTTCACAATTATAATCATCTGATGCAAGAACACGTGCACATGCTAAACCTGCTGCACCACCACCTACAATACATATTCGATGACGTTTCATATTTAAAATAACTAATTCTATCTATAAAACAAAAATTCAATGACATTTTTCAATGAAATCTCTAACGAACAATTGATTAAATCTTATATGTGTCATTATAATAATAAATAATATGAAAGAAAGGTAATTCTATTAAAAATTTCGAACGAAATGAAAATATTTTTGATCTGAAATTTTATTTTATTTTTTTAACTAGCTGACAAATCTTTTAAGATATTGTTATCTATGCTATATCATAAAGGTCATTGTCCTTTGTATGTGTTATCTTCTATTTGACGATAAAAGATGGGTACATTCATCTAATAAAGTGACTACTTCCTTTAAAAACATTGATTTAGCTACTAATTTGATAAAACAATAGACGAATGAAATATTGAGTTAAATCCTCTTTGTTGAAAGTTTATTTTATAATTAATTAATATCTTTTAGTCTTCATTTTTTTTTCAAAACTATAAAATGTATCAATTAATTCTAGAAAATTTATTTTATTTGAATATATTTTTATATATTTTAATTGACTCTAGCGACAAATGTCAAAGAGGTTCTATATATTGATCAACAAAAGAAACATGGTTGTTTATCAATCTGATGATCATCTGTTTCTCTTCTTGGCTATGACATTGAAAGGTTAATCTCAAGGAAAAAGAAACAGGAGAAGAAATATTCTTTACAGATATGCTTATTGTTTATTATGGCATTCGAATATTTCATTTAATTATTTTAATTCTTTTATTTAAATATGGTATTACAATAAGTTCATTGTCTGATTTAACATTACCAACAAATTTATGTACAACTATATTAATACAAAATAAATCATTTGGTGTTATACATAGTTTAAATTTTTATTCTGGTCAATCTCAACCACCAAATATATCATGTTCATGGATAATAAATAATTCTCAAATATCAAAATTGTCAAAGTATATACTTTCATTACGTGTTATTGAATTAGAAAATGATCCAACACATTGGTCAAATGAATTAACATTTTGGACAGGTAGTAGACAAATATCAATTGATGATATTAATAAACGAACATATGTTATATCAACATCATCACCATCAATACAAATATATTTTCGTACAAAACCACCATTATTACAAACATTTAATCCACATATACGTACTAATTTACGTATACGTCGTTTTTTAATTGAATTTATTCATTTTAATAATGATTTAATAACAAATACAAGTGAAAATTATTTTCGTTGTTTATCAAGTAAAATATTTATACCTAAACAATGGAAATGTAATTGTATACTTGAATGTTCATATGAAGATTATAGTGATGAAGATAATTGTCCATTATGTCCAGTGTATGAACCATCAAATAGTTTATTATGTCAATCAAATGAAATTTGGTGTTTACCACATGAATCGAAATCTTTTAGTGATAATTTAATTGAAGTAGATTATGATGAAGATAATTGGATGTTATCTCATATAAATTATAGTCGAAAAATTGATCCAAAAGGTAATGATATATCAGACATTAACCGAAATTTATATTTTCAAATGAAATAAAATGAAGCAAGATCTTCGTTTAAATTTGAATTAGACTACAGTTGTGAACTCTCATTTCCTTTGTTCCATATCTGAAAATATATTGAACTTTAACATGGGCATTATGTATGAGCATGCATTGAAATTAAGAAACCCGAATTCGGCTATTTCTTATATCAAGAAGTTCGCACTCTATATATACCTAATCATGCAAAAGTATAGAATAAATGTTAAATAATAATCGAAGAATATTTTCTCGCTTGTATTTATCACAATAACATGTTTTTCTCTTCATTTCGATGATATACTATTTGAATAAATATTGATTGTAATTTAAAACTATGATGATTTATGAATAATAGTGGAAGACGTTTCTCTAAAAAAGATTAGGAATGTGCAGTATTGGTGTAAATACCTAAATAATAAATAGTGAGTCACTGACACAAGGTATACTGAAGTACTGACACTCGCGTTCACAGTATCATTGAGGCATCAACTCTATTAGAATATGTCCTTTTTTGTAGTGGTGTGTTCCAATGTTTCATGGAAACACTGACGTCAATGTGTTAGTATGTATTATGTACACCCAAATGAGCTACAAATATCGTGAAAAGAGTTCGTACTCTTAGCTTATTGTCGCGGAGATACTGCAATTTTACGGTATTCTTTAAATGAATACAAGAACACAAGAAAAATTAATTCTCGAATTTCAACTGAAAATCTTACATAATGACAGTCTTTAACGAGAATAGTTTATTGTGAAAGTTTCAGACCTTTTGATTTTACTTCTATCTTGAAATAAGAATATCGAATCTGCTGATTCATATGAGCCATGTAAAAAACCATGTTATTACTATAGTTGTATCTTAGGATAAAAACGTCGAGAAGATCTAAAACATTCAAAATAAACTATTATCGTTAAGACTTGTTCCTATGCAAAGATTCAAGTCGAAATTCAAAACTCAATTTTTCTAGTATTCCTACATTCATTTAAAACACTGTAAAAGTGCAATATCTCTGTACTAATAAGTTAAGAGCATCAACTCTTTCCAGGGCATTCATAGCATTATTTGAGTCTACATAATGCATATAATCTCGACTCAAAAACGATTTATCAGTTGAAGGACTTCCCTTGTAAGTCGGTAGAGCTCGTTGGATCCGATCGAACTGTACTTTGATACTCTCAATGAATTTTTCTAGTTGGAATTGGATAGTTATCCGAAAGATACGAGATACTGAATATTTCAGTTTTGTATATTCAGTGACTAGCGTACCCTACATTTCTAGAGTCTATAGGGTTCAAAATTTTCGAACCCGAGCCGGAGACCAACCCGATGGGCTCTATGAGTCAATGATCAATAAACTGAAATTGTACAGATACTTTGAAAAGTATAATTTGAAAAATTGTTTTTTTGTTTAAAGGAGTTTGTATTCCACATGGTGAACATCAACAATGTTCATATTCAACGAATACATCAAATTGTGAAAGAATTCTTGCATGGAGACAAGATCATGGTCAAATTTTACTTAATAATTTAATTCTTGATAATTATCAATCCTTATGTTTTATTATAATTGCAAAAGAAGAATATAAAATAAAATTATTTATAAATCAATATCAATTTATTGAACAACGACCTGATCTTGAATTAATTATTTATGATGGAAGTGAACAACAAAATAAAATTCTTTTGTCATCAAATTGGTTATTAAATAAAGAAATTATTCAAACACGTCAACATCATATAGCAACAATTATTATTCGAAAACGTTCTATTCAATCAATATCAATAATAACTGATCCACATAATGATGATGATGATGTTGTAGGATATTTAGACACAAAAAAAAGTATACAACGACGTGATACAAATTTAGTTCTATTAAATATAACATGGTTAACAAGTATTTGTCCAGATGATCAAAAGTTATGTGGTGGTCATTTTGAAACAAAATGTTATACAAAACAACAGCGATGTGATGGTAAATTTAATGATCTCAAAAATAAAATAGTTTTTATTTGAATTCTTTTTCTTTTTATTATTTTTATTTAACAAAAAAAACAGGTATTTGGGATTGTATTAGTGGTGATGATGAACTTGGTTGTTCACCAGAATCATGTCCAACAACATTTGCATGTAATGATCATTTACGTTTACCATCAGATCAACCACGATGTTTTACATGGTCAGAACGTTGTAATGGAAATGCATTTTGTGCTAATCGCACTGATGAAAAATTCTGTTCGAATTGGTGGTGTAATTCAAATAATGGAACATTTTTATGTAAAAATTTAAATTGTATTTATGAAACATGGGTTTGTGATGGTAAGAAAAATTTTTGTTATTTCGACATTTATACATATTCGGATAGACCTTGCAATGAGTGTAAACTGTTGATAGTATTAAGTCCTTGTCCTCACCTACATCCGCCGACATATTAGATAACGTAAGCAAATTTATTTCGAATGTAGACACTTACTAAATCAAAAATATTGTTTTTCTTAAGAACGACTCAATATAAAAGTGATAGGTTTTTTATTACACAACAGACAGTTAGAAGTAGGTCATAATAGAGCCTAATTTTTGAATTTCTCTTTTGCTGAAATAAAAGAACATAGATCTTTGATTTTAACTGGCGATTTCTTTTGACCACGAATTTGAGAATTTTTCGAAAAAGAGTTTTTTTTTTTGAAAAACAAACAAAGAAAAATTTGAAAATTGAGCTCTATTACGACTTAATCCTGAGTGGACTGCACAATTTAAAAACCATCCCGATATGTTAGTTCGTATCTTGATTTTAAAAACTTTGTCAACGCAAATGGTACTTTTGACCAATGAATTGACTATAACTCGTGAGTATCTTGAAGATTTGAGGAAATATATTTTACTTATAATCTATTCTAGCCAAGACTAGTATTCTTTGAAATTTTGGAATACAACAAATAGTAAATATTTAATATCAGAGTGTTTGCATATAATTTTCAATTAGAATTTATAAAAAAAAATCCATTTAATTTTTATATCACCTACTAAAGTTATATAACAGAGACAAGTATAAAAGTGTGACGGAGATTTTCTTATAATTCGTTACTATTAGAAATATACTGAATCACTTTTAATGCCGGAATCGGAACCGGAATCAAGATCAGACCGGATGTACCGGAACCAATAAAAATGAAGTTATCGGAACCGGACCAAACAATCTTAGTCTCACACATCCTTCGTTATTGTACATAATTCATTCAAACATTTTTTTTTTCGAATTTCCTCAACAAACAATTAATTAATTTCTTATAATTTAATAATTAAATTTATCTTTAGGTACTGATGATTGTGGTGATCATTCTGATGAAATCAAATGTCCAGTACGCATACCTCGTCGTATTGTAACAGCTGCAGTTATTGGTGCCACTGTTTGTTCAACATTATTTATCATTGCACTTGGTTGTACATGTAAATTATTTCATTTACGTACAGCTGAACGACGTGCTACATCTCGTTTACTTAATCCTCAACGTTTTATTGAACAACGTCGTCAAGAAATTCAACGTGAACAAGAACGACGTTTAAATCGACAAAATATATCAACATCAACAACAACAACAGATATATCAAATGAAACAAGACGAATAGCACCACCATCTTATAATCAAACAATGGGTCTTATGGATGAAAATGAAGAACGACAAGCAGCTCTTGCTGAACATTTAAGACTTGCAGGTTTAGCTAATTATATTACATTACCACTTGCACCTGGTAATCCAAGAACAACATCAAGATCAACGTCAAGACATCGAAATAGAAGACATCGAAGACATCGTCACCATCATCATCATCGACGAACACATAGTGAAGGTAAATTAAATTAAATTAAAATTTTTTAAATGTCTTTTTATCGTTTTTTTAAGGTTCACGTGTAGCTTTACTTGAACCAAATCTTGTTATTCCTAATAATGCCTTTCCTTTACCGTCCACATCATTATCTTCAAATCGTTTTAATCGTTTTCGTGCTCAACTTTATTCTTTATTTACAACTAATCGTATAAATTCAAATACTAATAATAATCATAACAGTATTCAAAATAATTCTCTATCAAATCAATTTGATATATATGAACATCATAATCTATCAAATACAATTCAACCAATTATTCTTAATACACGTTCATATTTAAATTCAGATTTTATTCAATCACGTGAACTTCCACCACCATATGTTGAAGAACAATTAGCATTAGTCAATCCTACAATAAATTCAATATCAACGACAATGACAAATAGTCGCCGTAATAGTAGTGGCGGTAGTGATATGGAATCAACAAATTCTATGTCATCATCATCGTATCGTATACGTAAACGACAAATTCCAATAAATACATTACGCGATCGTATGAGACAATTTATATCAAATTCAACAGTGCGAATAACAACAGATGATGTAAATCATTCAATACAACCAACTACAACAACATTAGATATGAATTTTGATGAACAACCACCTGTTGCATCTATTGATGATGATGATGAACAACCAACTAGTGATGATCATAAAATGTTAACGCCTTAATATATATATATATTGATTTTTTTTTCTTTGTTCTTTTATGTACAATGATGATTTATCTTTTTTGTATATCGCGTTTCTTTTGTTCATTAATTTCTACTAACCCGATCTGATGTTGTCATGCAGGGGGAAAATTTTTATTCCAAAAGCTTTTGTTTCTTTTTGTGTGTGTACCACAGTGATCATGTTATCTTTCTCTCTCTCTCTCTCTCTCTCTTTCTCTCTCTCCTACACATGTAATTTTGTTTGTTTTTCCTGGTTGTACTGCAACAACTATAGAGATACAGTGGTTCTTGTATTTTTCTACATACTCACAAAAATTTACAAGTTTTTTTTTGTCTGTTCGCTATTATCTTTATTAAAAGAAAAAAAAATGTTTTTTTTTATTAGGTATAAATAAATACATTATATATATAAGTACAGATAAACAAAAGCATATAGAAGAACAACTAAAATATTCTATGATTAGATTCTCTCTAGGGTACTCATTTGTATTCATATATGATACATGCTGTCTCTTTTTCTCATCATAACTAGTGCTACGGTCAATTTCCAACAATGAACAGAATAAAGAACAAAGAAAAGCAAATTAATTCAATCTATATTGAAACAAGACATAGAATATTCCGACGTTTTTTTTTGTATCTATTCTTCCGGCAATGACAAGAAACATAGAAGCACAAATCAACTAATTCTGTCCAACTGAGATTTCAACTAGTTAAACTGTATGTGCATAATATTAACAATAGAAGGCGGAATGAGTAATACAAAATGATGTTGTCACATCATCAGATCGAATAAAAAAAAAAAGAAGAGAGGGAAAAAAATGCTAAAGAACAAAGAAATTGAGAAAAGAAGAGAAAAAAGAAAACCAGATGAAATTCGATTGTGATCAGTAACTAACTGAATGACAATAGAATGAGCACATTTCTCTCTATATATATATGCAATTTTTTTTTATTAGTAGATAATAAGAATCAGAGACACGCAAGAACTAGACATATTAGATTCATTGAGTAAGCAATTCAAGTTTTTCTTTGTTTATAAACTATATATATACATATATTTATCAAATAAAGATTTCGTAAAACTAAGTGTATTCTCAAGCACTAGTAATCGAAAATGATGTTTTATTATTGCTTGAGAGTATCCCTTAACATTCTACGATATATCGTCTATTACTAATTGATATGTTTGCCAAAATATTTATTTTATCTTTCGGTAAGATAATTACTAGTACTCTTGTAGAAGGTATTCCATCATGAATGCCGAGGTACATTTTGAAATTGATATTTTCTGGAAGAAGAAGAAGAAGTGTTTTTCCAGTGTCATCATTCACTCTCATCTTTATGCAATGCTGTGTCATCTAGTAAAATTGAAACAAGTGCTTTTTCTCTTCAGATAATATTATTAATAATCTATTTTTGTATTTATAATAAAACACTAGCTATATGAATATTGCGAAGATCGATATTTGATAGGTAACGACATCTTTTAGTGATGATCAAACTATTGGGTTGGTCAAATCTGAAAAACGTTTTTGAAATTATTCACTTAAAAGAGAATAGATAAATGAATACCAAGAACAGTATTGTTCTGTTTTATTTCATGAGTCGAATATAAAAGAACACGAAGAAATCCATATACGTTGTCAAATTTTAGGATAAGATATTTTATGTTACTATGGATATATTTTTATTTGCCCTTGGATTTTTAATATTCATATGTTTTATCTTACATCTATATACTCGACAAGTTCAACAACAAATCAAAGATCCACATCATCGTATTTTTCAACAAGTATTTCTTTTTGTTTATCTATTAGCACTTGGTAAAATAAAATGAAAATTGATGAATTATTTTTTATTCGAAAATATTCATTTATTTTAGCTGGTGATTGGCTTCAAGGACCACATGTTTATGCTTTATATGAAAGTTATGGTATTCAAAAACATGAAATTGAAATACTTTTTATTGCTGGATTTGGATCATCAATGTTATTTGGTACAATTGTAGCTTCATTATCTGATAAATAGTAAATAGATGAATAAAATCAAGATAAAAAAAAATAATTATCTAATCATCAAAATTCTTTCTTTAGTGGTCGACGTAATATATGTTTATTATATGGGGTACTCTATGGAATCTCATGTGTAACAAAGGTTAATAGAAGAAAAATATTATTGTAAATATCTTAGATTTTTTAAAATTTTTAGCATTTTCCAAATTTTCAAGTATTATTTATTGGACGATTACTTGCTGGTATGGCAACATCAATATTATTTAGTGCTTTTGAATCATGGTTAGTTAGTGAATATCGACATGTATGTAGATCAATTTTAAATATAAAGAAGATTCTTTTTATTAATTATCGAATTTATATATATATATATTTTTTGTTTCTAGAGAAATTTTGAATCTGAAACATTAGGAACGATATTTGCAAATGCTTATTTTGGAAATTCAGTTGTAGCTATATTATCAGGAATTATTGCTCAAATTGCTGCAAATACATTTGGATATGTGTAAGTGATTATAAAATATAGAAAATATTTATCAATCATCTAGTGTTGAATTTGAATAATGAATAGGAATGTGCAGTGTTGGTGGACATACTAAACAGTAAGCCAATAAGATAGAGTCCACTGATATCCACATTTGCTACAGCATTGAGATACCAACTCTATCAAAAGATGTCGTTTCTTGTTGTGGTGTGTTTAGAGATGTAAGCCGATCGGTTGATAAGGGAATCTCTTCAGATGTTCCTTTCCGATATCAACGATGTTTTGCTCATAGATGCTGCATAGTGTTCTAATAAAAGCCTTGACAGGAGTTGGGTTTTGACTAAGCTATAGAATTTTTTTCTCGCGATCCCAAGTTTTTGAAAAACTTGTATTTTCAAATTTGAATTTGAAACTTTGTGTATATAGAGAAAATTCAACAAGGCTAGCTTTTATAAAAAAAAAAATCAGAAGTTTTCAACAAAGTCTCTTCGAGCTATGAGACTTTAAAGATGTAGTCCCTTTTTCATGGACAACGTATACAACATGTATTTTTTGAAAGCTTCGTATATTCACGAAATTCAGTTCAAAACTTCTGAATTTTTTTTCTGGAAGCTAATCTAGTTGAGTTCTCTGTATGTGCAAAGTTTTAGATCAAAATTCAAGAATAGGATTTTCCAGAAAATCTGGCGTCTCGCGAAAAAAAATTCAATAGCGTAGTCAAGTTTCAAGAGGAATTCAAATAGAACTCATCGGACTGGTTCCTGATCTTGACTTAATCGACTCTAGTCATCTGAGAAATGTATAGGATACGCTAGTCACCGTATACAAAAAATTGGAAAAGTATCTCGTATCTTAGGGATGACTATCTAATTTCAATTAGAAAATTTCATGAAGAGTGTTAAAGTGCGATTCGATCAGGCTCCAAATCCAGATCCTTCTAGAGTTTTTATTAGAACACTATGTAGTATCTACAGGCAAAAAATCAGTGGAATCGGAAGGGAATAACTGAAGAGGTTCCCTTGCCAACCGCTGTTACCAATGTTCAAGCAATTTAGTTGCGCTGTCGCCGTTGTCCAAAACAGTTGCGGAAGATTCCAGCCGTGACATAAAAACAAATATTTGATTTTTAAAAATTTCCGACGTTTCAAATCAGTTTTTCAAAGGTGTTACCGTTTGGTTTCTTATCAATAAGTTCTCTACCATTGTTGTCTGTCTTTTTTCATTTAAAAATTTAAGTCGCCGTTACCACCAATTAATGCACAGGCTTACATTTCTATGTATGTTCCAGAGTTTCAGTACACACCGATACTATTGTGCTCTAACTACACTGAGTCGGTGATTAGTAAATTGAAGCTACACATTCCTAATATTCAATAATAAGAATCTTACAAATCATTATCTTAATATAAACTACACATATCTTGATCGGAAATCTTATATAAACAGATCTTCATTGTGTTTGAATTCAACTTAGCTTTGTTTTTGAAAAACAATTTGATAGTTGATGTTGATTATCTAGAGCTCCGTTTGATACAGCAATAATTGTTTTTATTGCTATGTGTTGTTTATTGGTAACAACTTGGTCAGAAAATTATGGTGATGCTAATGCACCTGTTTCTCAATCATTTTTATCAGCTTGGAAATCGATTAAATCTGGTATATGATAAAAAACAACAAATCAGTATCTGTTTATTTATTTGTTTTGTTTTTTTCTTCTTTTTTTTTTATAAAGATCGAAAAATATTTCTTTTGGGTATTGTACAAGCACTTTTCGAAGCATCAATGTATGTATTTATACTCGAGTGGACACCAGCATTAACTCAAGCATTAAATAAAAAATCTATTGACAAAACAGATAATAAAAATCCACCAATTCCACATGGTTAGAATAACAAAAAAGATATTTATAAAATTAAATAAAAACAAAATAAATTTTTTAAAAAATATGTTTAGGATATATTTTTGCAAGTTATATGGTAGCAATGATGATGGGTTCAAATTCATTTAAAGTTTTTTGTAATTATACAACACCAGAATCATTTATGAGGTTGAAGAAATTTTTCATTTATTTATATTTATATTTATTGAATTGATTTAATATTTAGATATATTATTATAGTCTCGGCTTTTTGTTTAAGTATACCAGTGTTTCTGCCTAAAGTAAATTAAAATGATATTTTAGTTTTTATTAAATTTAAAAAAAAACGATTTATTTCATTTAATAGGATCAAGTATCAATGTTTATTGCATTTTTGGTCTTTGAATTTTGTGTTGGTATATTCTGGCCGTAAGTTTAATTAATCATGAAAGAATTTTTATTTTAATATTAAGTATTTAAGAGCAATGGCAACAATGAGAAGTAAATATATATCTGAAGAAGGTTTGTTTAAAGGAAAAAAACAAATTTTATTTTTCATTAATTGAAATTTATTATTTCAAATTTATCTAGCTCGTGCTACTGTTATGAATTATTTTCGCGTTCCATTAAATTTGATCGTTGTTGTAATACTTGTAAAAGTTAGTTATATTCCAAAATATTTTATTTTTTATTTTTATTTTATTTATTATAGGATTTTCAGTTAAAAATTATTTTTTCGAGTTGTGTATTTTTCTTAAGTCTAGCTACTGCATCTATGTTTTTATTACATAAGTGAGTTTCATTGAAAAGAAAAGATTTTTTAAAATAAATGTCTTTTTTTTGTCGTTGTTCTAGATTAACACTTAATAATACTCATTCATTATTACCTGTTAATAAACTATTAACTGAACAGGAAGAAAAAATGTTACATGCTATAAATTCATCAATTGATGAAGATACCGATAAAAATGAAAAAATGAGAAATTCAATTGCTTAAGATGGATTATGGCTCTTTTTTTTTGACTTTCTTTAATTAGAATCTCAAGTTATATGTATTGATTTCTTCTTTTTGTGATAAGATTTGTATTCTGATGATTATAGTACAAACAGGGGAAAAAAATGAGAAACATGTGATAATTACATAATTTATTTATTTTTTTTGTTTTGTTGTTTTGTTTTTATGCCGATATAACAATGCACGTATCTTTTTCTTGATTTATTATATTCAATATCAAAATGGTTTTGAAAAAAATATTAAGAAATATTTCATAGATATAAAAGTAAATCAAATAATTGTGGCTTAGGGTGATATGGTTGCTGTTTCTTCCTTATCGTATTTCTGATGTCAAATAATTTTTTATAAATACGCAGTACATTTGTCTATTCACAATCGAGGTATTTATCATATAAGATAATCAGTCAGTTATTGTACGTTTGTCTTTTAGCTGAAGAGGACGACGATGTTCTATATAGAGAAAAGCGAATAGTATATATACAACATAATAGAGAGAAAAGAAAAACGAATTAAATTGTTTTACCGTTTGTTTTCGTCAGTTTATATTACTGTGAACAGGAATGGTCAATTCTAAGAAGATTCAGGTATGTGTGATAAAAAAAATAACTTCTCAAAACAAATCGATAATAATCAATTCATTTAAAAGAAATGAATCTAAATTTAATATTTAACGTTTTTTTTTGTCATTGTCTATCTCGTAATATAGTTTAAAACAACGTTATAGCAACTGCAATACAAATTTTTGTAACTATAAGCGTTCTATACTTATCAATGATTCGTTCGAACATATTGATTATTATTAAATCGAAAGAAGATATAGTTAATAATGAATTAAAAAATTCACAAATAACAACAATCGAACAAAATCAAAGAATATCCCGAACATTATCACGAACTGATATTCAATTCAAATTAAGTAAATTTTTTAAAATTGAAATCATACAAATTTAAAAAAGATGTTTTTTTGAATGATAAAAATTACTTTTGAATAAAGTTATGAATTAATAATCTATGGCACGAAATATTCACTCATTCCTTCGGTCCTTGAAGACAACTGGTTAGAGCCACGAGGAGTTAGTCAGAATCATATTTTTTCGGTCTTTTCGAATATATGTTCAGAATTGCCTTCTAGAGTAATATTTTGCAATGTTCAGACACACGTTTGAACTTTTTTCATAAAATTTATTGATAGTTGTTCAATCTTATTTCAGAAGAAAGGTCTAAGCATACATTTGAAAATAGCGACGGATAGTGATTCTAACTGACTGCTGTTGACTTTAACTAGTTGTCTTTAGATGGCTGAGAAATGAATGAGAGTTGTATGCCTAGACTTTCGTGCTGTAGGTTAGATAAATTAATTGTAGAAAAGACTTATTTAAGGTTATATAAACATATCTTTTGAGACAAAAAAAAATTGAAGTCGAACGATGTTAATAAATTGCGAGTTTTATTTACAAGAAAATTTTACAGCTTGCGAAGCTTTCTTATCTTTATCGGATATCGTAGAAATTATTAATATTGATTTATAAATTGTACCAATTATTTCAAAAAGCCTTTGGAATTAGTAACAAACTTCGTATATTTAAATATTACACAACATTGAATTGATCTGAAACTGCATTAGATTTTTTTTACTTGATATTGTAGTTTCCAATATATGTATTTCTTGGCGTCTGAACTTTATATTTATCTTCTGCGATAGACAAACAACGAATTCCAAGATATTGAGATACATCAAGTCTACTGTTTCTTTCATTATCTTTCTTTCTTTCATTCGAAGACAAGAATTCAATTTCATCTTTTGTACACAAAGATCCATATTTCAATTAAATGATCTTATTAATCTCTCTCTTTAATCTAAACAACAAAACATTCTTGTATAGGTTTTTTTCTTTTTAAAGCCAATAAAATTATTCTAATACTGATTTCCAAAACACAAAACTGTTGTTCAGCAACATTTCTTCGAAATCATTCTTTTCAAATTAGATTTATTCTAGCTAATATCATAGATTACATTCGACAATCTCTTCGAGCAATTATTGATAATAAAATAATAAAACGTTTGACATCTATTGAAAAAAATGACTATATGGAATTTATTAATATGTACTCAATAACAATATGAATTATTTTTATTACGTGGTACATTACTATGATTTATTGAATTTATTGTACGTTATTTAATTTTATTTCCATTTCATTCTTGTCTACTTTTTCCATTGCCATGTTTTGAATGTTGGGCTTAATAATATTTTTAAAATATTCTCCAATACATAATACAAACTGACGTTTTTGGATTTTATATATATATATTGTTTTATATCGTATTTTATTGCGTATTTATTTCTGCAATAGTAACATATCATAATACAGAATATCATATTAAATATGCTTCGATATGTGTTCCTAATCTTACATTACCTATTGATGTTATTATATTACCAACTGATAATAGTTTTTCAATGATTGAACAAAACACAATGAATTTTTCTGATTTCTTACAAAAAGAAAAAAAAACATCATAAACAGCAAGTGATATATGATTTGATTGTTCAGAAACTAACGATCATCATATAGTTGCTGGAAAAATCTAAATAATTTACCAATATTAATATTTTCTGAAGGTGCTTGTATAAATAATATATCAGTAACAATATTTAAAAAAAGATTTTTTTGGAAATAAATGAAGTTCCTATTTATCCTATTACAATTAAATGATTATCGTTTTGGTGATGCTTATTGGAACTCATCAAAACATGATTTATTTCAATACATAATATTGATAATGATGTTATGGAAGATTGTAGTTGGTGTTTATTATCTACCATTGATGAAAATCGCAGAAACTGAATTATCAATTAATTTTGCACGTCGTGTTAAAACAACTATTGTTAAACAAGGTGATTTTGTTGATTTAGAATAGAATAGTGAACAAAGAAAATTTTATGAAATTCTTAACATAGAATAACAAATATTACAAAAAAAGTTGTTAGAGAAAAAACTGAATTGTTTTCTTTTTATCTTTTGTTTTCCAATTTTTTTCTTTGCACAAAGAGTTTGTTTGCTGAAAAGTTAAACATGTTCTTATTGATTTTTATTAATTATTGGATATATTTTTCTGATTTTCTGTTGTTATAGATTATTATTAACATCATACCATATGATCAATCACTAAAGCCACCTCGTTATTCATCAACTTGTATGTTAAACAATTTTTTTGTTCTTTCAATAAAATTATTACATTTTATAGATGAAGATGACACATATCAATATCGACATGTCATTTTGGATAAGAATATGTTAGCATTAATTCCAAAAACTCGTCTTATGGACGAATATGAATGACGTGCATGAAGAATTCAACAAGGACCTCATTGGGAACATTGTCTCATTCATAAGCCTGATAAAATCTTTTCATGCTAATATAATTCTTTTATTATATTTTGTAATAGAACCATTTGTACTTATGTTTCATCGTTTATTAAAATATCGTGTTGAACTAAATCCAGCTATGCAACAATAAAATATTCATTTTTCAACAATACGTATACCAATTAGTGCAATAATGAATATATCAACAAATCATCCACTTGGTGATTTAACAAATACAATTATACATGATGGAAAATATTAATAATGGATTTCAACTGACTGTTAGTCCTTATAAAACTACAAATGATAATATTAATGAAGATAATAGTGAATTACAAGAATCAGACTTTGCTAGTCATCATTATGATGTATAGATAACTGTTGTGCATTGAAATTTTTTTTTCTTTTAATTCGATTCGTTCATTGAATATCATAATCCGATCGAATATATTTTTTTCTTCATATATTAAAACAAAAAAACTAAAGAGAATTATTTAATTTATTTTAGAATAAGAAAAAAGATATATTCTCATTTGCCGTCGTTTACACGTTCTTCTGCTTCTTTTTATTTATTTTACTGTTAACAATGGCTGCTAAAGATGCTGTACAAAAAGAAAAAGAATCTCACAAAGAACAGATTTATTATTCAGACACTTACAAAGATGTATGATTTTGTTTTAATTGATTTTTTTTTAAAACTACTTCTTCTATTTAGGAAATGTACGAATATCGTCATGTTATTTTGCCCAAGGAAATTGCTAAGAAAGTGCCTAAAGGTCGATTATTAACAGAACATGAATGGCGACATCTTGGTGTTCAACAATCCCTTGGTTGGGTTCATTTTATGATTCATGAGCCAGGTTAATAACGAAAAAAAATATTGAATAAAATCAAGAAGAAATTTATTTGATATATATTTAGAACCTCATATTTTAATATTTCGCCGTTCACTCAAAGTTAGTCAACAAGTTCAACAGCAACGAGCTGCAGCAGCTGCTGCTGCCCATGCTCAACAACAGTTCAATGCTGTACATATGAAATAGGATTTTTTCTTTTCTTTTTCTTTTCGAAATAGATAATCTCTCGTTCTACCCGTGACATCACATATCACATTGTAGTATTGGGCATGTGTGTACATTTTACTATTGTCTGTTCTCTTGAAATAATCCAACAATTACCTAAAAACTACACATAATTAACGAGTTCTTTCTATTTTCTATCTATTCATATCTATATTTATGTGCAGATCTACGTGTGTATTCCCAATGTGTGTGTGTGTGTATAGAGAACTGATGTGAATTATTTTCCTTTTTTCTTGTTGTGTTTATTGTTCTTAAAAATCTCGTCATATATCTTTTTTTTTGGGCGTCATCATAATGATATTAATGAACAAGTTATTAAAAAAATAAAGTGCGTAATGATGCTTCTATTAATAACGATCGTACGAAAGAAAAAAAACACAAAATGAAAGAGGCAAACCTATAATACAATTTTTACGTGCATAAATATAGAAATATTATTGTTAAAATTTCCGAAGAATATTTTTGGAGAAAACGTCGTTTTTTTTATGATTGACAGATCGATAAAAGTCAGACCTCTTATTCAATAAATATGACGTTCGTTCTTCAAGGTTATATCATGTGTTACAAGCATGATAAAATACTTATCGGCCGAAGTAAAGCGTGAATGACAATTAACCAAGCCATTTTTGCGAAGGTAAATAAAAACATTGCTTAGGTGAGCCTATAAATACGATGTGGAAAAATGATACATTATTCTATTCTCACGCAAATACAAAAACATAATGCAAACTATTACATATCTTCCCATTGCTGCTCTTACAATATTACTAATCGAAGGTGAGTAATTCTTTCCAAACGTTAATTTTAATATCATTTTATGTTAGGTATATTTGGGAACTCCGTTGGAAAGGTTTCGTGTCCACATGACAAACCACAAGCAAATTGCATTGTGAATCCTTGCTATGTGAGTTCTTCATGTCATAATATATTCTAATATATTTTATTAATGCTAGGTATCAAAATGTCCAGGAGATAAGAAAGCTAGATGCATTCCTAACTATTGCGGTGGATGCATTGCAGTGTGGTACGCACATAATGGTAAACAGGCAAAATGTCAAAAAAATCCTACATGTCCACCTGGTCAAACCCCAGTTAAATGTCTGAAAGATCCATGTCAAGTAAGTTACACTAAATAACTTATATCTTCTCTTTTTTTTACGAAAGCTTTTCAATAGGGAGCAAAATGTCCAGCATATCCTAATGCTAAATGTGTCTCAAACTATTGCGGTGGATGCCATGCTATATGGTATAAAACTGATGGTACTCCAGTAAACTGCAATAAATCACCTTCATGTCCACCTGGTCAGACTGAAGTTAAATGTGTGAAAGATCCATGTCAAGTAAGTTAAAATTACTAACTTGTATGTTTTCTTTTTATCACAACAGTTTTTCAATAGGGAGCAAAATGTCCAGCATATCCTAACGCTAAATGTGTCTCAAACTATTGCGGTGGATGCCATGCTCTATGGTATAGATCTGATGGTACTCCAGTAAACTGTAATAAATCAGCCCCATGCCCACCGGGTCAGACTGAAGTTCAATGTTTCGTAGATCCATGTCAAGTAATTTATAATAACTAATTTATATGTTCTCTTTTTCTTTACAAAACCTTTTCAATAGGTAGCAAAATGTCCAGCATATCCTACCGCTAAATGTGTCTCAAACTATTGCGGTGGATGCAATGCTGTATGGTATAAATCTGATGGTACTCTAGTAAACTGTAATAAATCATCTCCATGTCCACCGGGTCAGAATGAAGTTCAATGTCTGAAAGATCCATGT